TTTGGAGAAAGATTGAAGTCTCATCCCCAAGGCATATCATACTTCGAAAAACGGTCGAGGTGAGTCGTTATCGACCTCTTTGCCACTGTACATGCTTCTCAGGCCGGGTTCTTGACACGCCACATGAAAAGTCAATCCATGCGGTCAATTGATTGTTCGATAAGAGTATTGCATATTCTGACTGCAGCTTGGGATTGGACGTTAGTCTGATCAGTCATAATTCCACCCTCACACCATAGCGGTAAGTACTGCAGAGTTACAGAGGAAAAGCCAGCGGCACGTCAACGGCATTATTCGGCATGTCCCGGCATTCCCACCACGGTTCGACGGGTTGACCGGAAGCAGACCTATATCATATATCCTGCAGGTCATCCCCTCCCTCAAAGAAGTAGGTCTTAAAAGAAGGAGATATCATAGGTCCGCCTTGGGGAGACAAGATGACACGATATGCGGACGACGCGCAATAATCATTCCAGAGACGTTTATAAACGTGCCACGATATCCAGTGCGCAAGCTGTGGCTCCCGCTGTGATCTGCCCTCCAACATGGATTCGACACAACTCACGTACACCCTGCTCATTGCGATCCCGCTTCTGATCTTCCTCCACAGAAGGTCGAACCCTGTGAGTTGGACAGCTCGATGTGCCCCTTCGCTTCCATTGCTTCTTCAAAGCTTACAGACCTGCTCAACGTACCGTCAGCTGTATTCAATTCCTGCCGTCGGGTTTTCGGCCCCTCTACTATCCTACATCGGGGCATACAACTTCACTCGAAATGCACGTGGATTGCTGAAGGAGGGATACGAGAAGGTACCTCTCTTCTTCTGGCCCATTTCGAGCTCATGAACGACGTCGATCTTAGCATAAAGGCTCCGTCTTCAGGGTCCCCATGATGGATCGCTGGGTTGTAATCTTTTGCGGTGCGAAGATGAACGACGAGCTGCGCAAGTTCCCAGACGATGAGATGTCCTTCTTAGATGCTGCGGAAGAAGTGCGAACACATGAATCTGAGTCGTTGATTGGTCTTGCTGATATACGGATCATCCAATAGTTGGTGCAGATGAAGTACACGATCGCTCCCGAGGTCGCCGACCACCCGATCCACATTTCGGTAATCCGTGGCCCGCTCACGCGCAATTTCGGTGTTGTCCTTCCAGATGTCGTGGATGAAATTACCGTGGCCATGGAAGAACTGATCCCGATCAAGCATGACGGTAGGCGTCCAGAATCAAAGTGGCTAACCGTCCTCACTAAGTCACGGACACGTAGAATGGGTGACCGTGCCAGGACTTTCCACCATGAGACAGATCGTTTGTCGTGCGAGTAACCGTGTGTTCGTCGGCCTTCCCTTCTGTAAGTCGAGAGTTCAACGGACTGTCATACCATGTCTCATCGCGTGCTAGGCCGCAACAAGGAATACCTGGATATAGCGTTAAACTTCACCGCTGACGTTGGAAAGGGACGGGCTATCATGATGGCCACCCCGACGATCCTTAAGCCGTATGTGATGGGTCTGCAATGCGGTTCCGAATATTACTGATACCTGACATAGTCTGGTCGGTCGTTTGCTGCCTTGGTCACGAAGGGCTGTTCGACAGTTCTCTGCGATGATGAAGGCTGTCATAGAGGAGCGCATCAAACAGCTGGAGAAGCACGGGAGAGACTGGAGTGATAAGCCTGTACGTACTACAATATACTACCTTGTCCAAATTTAACTTTTGTTGGTGTCCTTCAGAATAATTTTATGACGTGGCTGGTGGAGGAAGCAATGGCCACTGGCAAGACCGTCGATCTGGTCGTACAAGCTCTGTTAGCCTCAAATTTCGTTGCGATACATACATCATCTACAGTATGTGCGCTCTGCTATTTAGGCGCGGGTTTGATTGGACGCATCTCGTCGAACAGAGCATAACCCATGCCTTATTCCACCTAGCGGCCAATCCCGAACACATACACCCTCTTCGAGAGGAAGTTGAAAGCTTCATTAAGACGGAAGGATGGACGAAGATCGCCTTGGGTAAGATGTGGAAGCTGGATAGCTTCATGCGAGAGTCTCAGAGAATGAACGGAATCGGATGCAGTACGTCTCCCTCCTTTGGATGCATATGTGAAACGAAAGATATGACGTCGCATCATTCCTAGTCTCTATCATCCGCAAAGTGTTAAAAGACGTAACACTGTCCGATGGGACTGTCATTCCGGCCGGCACAATTGTCGGATCAGCTGCAGAATCTACGCACTATGACGATGAAAGCTACGACCTACCTTACGACTTCCGGCCGTATCGGTTCTCTGACATGCGAGCCGAAGAGAGTGACCGTATCAAGCACCAGTACGTCAGCACATCGCCCGAATACATACCATTTGGCCACGGGAAACACGCCTGGTGCGTTGATTTGCTGTTCATGTCAACACGGCGATGTTAACTTGATTGTTGTCTCCAGCCCAGGGCGGTTCTTTGCTGCGAATGAGCTCAAGACGGCACTTGCTTATATCGTTATGAATTACGACGTGAAGTTCGGGGGTGACGGTACTCGACCGATCAACCGTTGGTTCGGTAGTTCTGTCATCCCGGATCCTATGGCGCAAGTGATGTTCCGCAAACGCCAACAGAATACTACGGTGTAGGTCACGCTGTCATCAGCGGCTTTGATGCGGGCTCCTCGTTTATACCTAGAATAAACTGCTTATGATACACCGAACCATGCGGGACGATGACTTCAATTCATATGTGCGTCTCTGCAGTTTTGATATGCTGTTGTACGTTTTGTCTGTATGCCACTACTTCGGGCAATAGCTATGAGCTATTTCAAGGACATGGCGACTGGTATCATATTCTGGGAGGACAGACATTGTCCAGCGTCACGGACAATCATCTTTTCTGGAATTTAGCTCTGACATGACGGTCCATCAACATTGGCTGGTGACTCGGAGTGTACTGGTATTTCTTGTCCTCAGCGTCAGTACTATGTGAAACCCAGTATGTCGAATTTTCCGGTCTAAGCACAGTGAAGGCAAATCCCATGTCCAGGGAGCATAGTCAAACTACCAAGGTATGTACATCTCGAAATCCGTTATTTATTAACTAGTGCTGCCCTCAGATCCTATCGTACGAGGCCCACCAGTTGCTAAGGGCACGTCGCTACGCGTCCGACCCGGCCACTTCTCCCCGCTTGCGACAGGAGCGTGTCTCCTTCCAACACGGTACCTTGTGCTTGAGGCCTGGACCGAACGGCGCTACTGAGTCCCGCCGTCCTCGAGCGACATAGGAGACCCTCGCGCTCACTGCGCCAGCGCCATCGAGAGCACTGATGGAGGCGATGTTGCATGCCCGATTTTGTACTGAGCAAATATTCATGAATGTTCCAGCATTAGCAGAATGTTTGGAGAAAGATTGAAGTCTCATCCCCAAGGCATATCATACTTCGAAAAACGGTCGAGGTGAGTCGTTATCGACCTCTTTGTCACTGTACATATTTCTCAGGCCGGGTTCTTGACACTCCACGTGAGAAATCAACCCATGCGGTCAAGTGAATGTTCGATAAGAGTATTGCATATTCTGACTGCAGCTTGGGATTGGACGTTAGTCTGTTGAGTCATAATCCCACCCTGACACCATGCTAGTACTACAGAGTTACACAGAAGAAGCCAGCGGCACATCAATGGCATTATACGGCATGTCTCGGCGTTCCCACCAGTGACCACGAGACGACACGGGTTCGAATTTCGAAAGGGCGTACTAATACGGGGTGACCGGAAGCAATCCAATGTCATCATCCTGCAGGTCATCCCCTCTCTCAAAGGAGGAGATATTATAGGTCCGCCTTGGGGAGACAAGATGGCACGATATGCGGACGACGCGCAATAATCATTCCAGAGACATTTATAAACGTGCCACTATATCCGGTGCGCAAGCTGTGGCTCCCGCCGTGATTTGACTTCCAACATGGATTCGACACAGCTGATGTACACCCTGCTCATTGCGTTCCCGCTTCTGATCTTCATCCACAGAAGGTCGAACCCTGTGAGTTAGACAGCTCGATGTGCCCCTTCGCTTCCATTACTTCTTTAAAGACACGCTCAACGAACCTTTAGCTGTATTCTATTCCTGCTGTCGGTTTTTCGGCCCCCTTACTATCATACATCGGAGCCTACAAGTTCACGCGAAATGCACGTGAATTACTGCAGGAAGGATACGAGAAGGTATGTCTCTCCTTCTGGGTCATTTCGAGCTGATGAATGACATGGATCTTAGCACAAAGGCTCTGTCTTCAGGGTCCCGATGGTGGATCGCTGGCTTATAATTTTCTGCGGTGCAAAGATGAATGAAGAGCTGCGCAAATTCCCAGACGATGAAATGTCCTTCTTGGATGCTGCGGAAGAAGTGCGAACACATGAGCCTGAGCCGGCGATTGGTCTTGCTAATGAATCATTCAATAGTTCGTGCAGCCGAAGTACACGATCGGCGTTACCGAAGTCGTCGACAACCCGATCCACATATCGGTGATTCGCGGTCCACTCACGCGCAACCTTGCTGTTCTTCTTCCGGGCATCATGGATGAAATCAGCGTGGCCATGGAAGAGCTGATCCCGATCAAGGATAACGGTAGGTGTTCACAATCAAAACGGCCGCCCGTTCTCATTGTGTCACGGTCATGTAGAATGGGTGACTGTGCCAGGTCTTTCCACCATGAGACAGGTTATTACTCGTACGACTAGCCGCGTGTTTGTCGGATTTCCCTTCTGTAAGTCGAGAGCTCAATGGACTGTTGCTCCGTACTCATCGCTGAGCAGGTCGCAACAAGGAGTACCTGGATATAGCATTTAACTTCACCGCTGATGTTAGGAAGGGACGAGCAATCATGACTGTCACTCCGACGATCCTAAAGCCGTGCGTGACGGTCCGTAGTGCAATCTCGAACAATACTGATGCCTGACATAGTCTGGTCGGTCGTTTGCTGCCTTGGTCACGAAGGACTATTCGGCGATTTTCTGCGATGGTGAAGCCTGCCATAGAGGAGCGCATCAAGCAGCTGGAGGAGCATGGGAGAGACTGGGGTGATAAGCCTGTACGTGCTACATATTATCATCTTGTCTTTACTTAACGTTTTGCCTGTGTCCTTCAGAATAACTATATGACGTGGCTGGTGGAAGAAGCAATGGGGGCTGGCAAGACCGTCGACTCGGATCTGGTCATGCAAGCTCTGTTATTCTCAAACTTCGCTGCGATGCATTCATCATCCACAGTACGTGCGCTCTGTTATGACTTTGTTTAGGCGCGGGATTGATTTGACGCATCTCATCGAACAGAGCATAACTCATGCCTTATTCACCTTAGCGGCCAATCCAGAACACATACACCCTCTTCGGGAGGAAGTTGAAAGCGTCATCAAGACGGAAGGATGGACGAGGATTGCTTTGGACAAGATGTGGAAGCTGGACAGCTTCATGCGAGAGTCGCAGAGAATGAATGGAGTCGCATGCAGTAAGTGTCTCCCTCCTTTAAATGCCAATGTGAAACAAAAAGATCTCAACTCGAATCGCTCCCTAGTCTCGATAATCCGCAAAGCGTTAAAAGACGTTACACTGTCCGATGGGACTGTCATTCCGGCCGGCACAATCGTCGGATCAGCTGCAGACGCTACGCACTATGACGATGAAAGCTACAACATTCCTCATGACTTCAAGCCGTACCGGTTCTCTAACATGCGAGCCAAGGAGAGCGACCGTATTAAGCACCAGTACGTCAGCACGTCGCCTGAATACATACCATTCGGCCACGGGAAACACGCCTGGTGCGTTGATTTGCTGATCGTTTTAATACGGGGATGCTGACTTGATTGTTGTCTCCAGCCCAGGCCGGTTCTTTGTCGCCAATGAGCTCAAGGCGGTGCTTGCTTATATCGTCCTGAATTACGACGTGAAGTTCGGGGGTGACGGTACACGGCCGAGCAACCACTGGTTCGGTATCTTAATCGTCCCGGATCCTACGGCGGAGGTGATGTTCCGTAAACGCCAGCCGAATACCTTAGTGTAAGTCAGGATGGCATCAAAGGCTTTGATGCGGGTTCTCGTTTATCCCTAGAATTGGAACTGCAGAGACGCACGAATGAAGAATAAGTCATCCTCTCGTATGATGCGGTGTATCACAGCAGTCTTGCATTCATGTTGTACTTGTCTTGCTGTATGCGGCTACTTCGGCGCAATGGTTATGAGCCATTTCAACATGGCAACTGATCTTGTTCTCGGAGCCCAGGACAGACATCATGATGCATCATAAACAATCATGGAGCTCTTTGACATGGAGCTCTTTAACGCGTTGGATAAGATAAAATGTGAGATTGTCTTGTGGGTTGCACTACTGATTCGATCATCTTGTCACCGTCCTGTAGTTGCTGCAAGCCTGAGGATATCTGCCAGGTTCTCTTACCTTATCACAATTCAGACATCATATCTAAGGCATCTAATACCGATTCTTCTCCTTTTCCCGCAGCAATTCTTGATGGAGTTTGGCGGCGGAGCGCCAGCTTGAGGGGCCCGGAAGCGACCAGCGCAACCGGCACGGGAGCGTAAATAATACGTGCGGCGCGCAGTGTATATAAGTAGGACGCACCGTATATGAAGGGCCATCCGTTAGGCCCGGTGGAGCTTCTAGGATGGTGCGGCCCCGGTGTTACCTATGTCACCTTCCTGCCTCATGGGCGCAAGGAGTGAGAGCCCGCTTAGGGCCACAAACGATCAGGGAGTACAGTATTGGTACGGGTGCGTATTTATACGATATTCTGCCCTTCCGACGTACTCGCCCGCTCTGTTTCCAGACACCGCCCTGCGACGGGTTTCAGCCGTCGCTTGGCGCTCGTTCCTCCCGACGCATTGAGCGTGCCGTCGGTTGGTGTAAGGGTATGGCAGGCCAAATGGAGTTAGCCACCGAGGAGCGCCACCAAGAACTGGCAGCCGATCGGAATTAGCCGAGGGCGACAGAAAAACCTACGCGTAGATACTCTATTCTCACTCGCTAATACACGGCTTGACTTGGTTTACATCGTGTTCGCTAAGGCCACGGGCATAGCCCTTATAGTCGGCCACTTCCAACGGAGCTATTTTTCAAGAATAGGCTTTCAGTCTCTCGGCTCCAAGTTGAGACGCGGACGTTCGCACTCAATTCTATGGAGCTTATTCGCGTGCCTCGGCTCCATCGAACATCGTTCGTTCTGTAGCATATGACATTTGACTGGTGCGCAGTGATTAGGCTCCGCTACGTCCAGCCTCGCGTACATGGCATGAATGCCATCTGCGAGGTTGTTTTCATCTATGAGCAATCACACTGTACGCCGGTATCGCTCACTCGATGTTCCATAATATTCATCAGCTGGAGCTGGCGCTTGAACTGCAGAACATGGCGGCGGACTTTCGCTGGAAACTCGACCAGGCTTGGTAGGAAAGTGAGTATGGGGCGAAATGATTCAGGCGCTGAACGCATACGATGGTTCTCAAAGCGCAGGAATCATGCCTCGCAATCTTCGACTCAATCTTCCGCAATGCCCTGTCCAGGCTCCAGTCCGCAGAAAATAAGGGGACGAGTAACATCGCGGGAGCGCTGAAAGGGCCTGTGTTGTCTTGATGAACTTTAACTTTCGCAACGACCTGCCAGGAATCGTGATTGACATATGTCATTGAAACATAGAAGGATAGCATCCCTGTGATGTGTCTCACCCGCGATGCGCTGCCTGCGCATCGTCTTGATAATAGAATTATCATTCGGACAGCGGCTCCCATTGGGGCACAGCCCCTTCCTGTTGTTCCTACAGAGAGTCCGATACATGTCCCCCTGTCAATTCAGAGTCATCAGTGCTGATATAATGTTCGAAGCTGGAGATTAAGATATGCCCTTCTGGCCATCCGCAGGATAGTTGATTATACCAGGGTCCAGCGGCAGCCACCTTGTCCTCAAGATTCTTGGTAGCGACATTGATAGGAAGTCCTCGACCGCGTTTGTACGGTAGCGGCGGCTTCATGGCTGCCGTTGGTGCGCTCCGTAAGCACGAGCCGCCACCCACTGGAATTGCACGCGGGGACACCAAAGACGTCCCTTCCAGCGATGTATGCTAGCACAAGCTCGCGGCTGGCGGGGGATGGATTCGCGACATCCACAAGAGCTTTCAATCGCACGATGTCCATGATTGTGTGGTTATACCGTGCTTCGCAGGGCTTCCAGTGGGCGTACGTTGCTGTAATGTCACCACATCTCCCGTAATAGGCAATGTGTGGGCAGATCGTGAGAGTCGCGGTCTCTGAGATCTGAGTCCACGGGAGACATATTGGCTCATATTGGGCAGGCTGATTGCGAAGAGCGCGCTTTGAGTCAGAGTTATTCGGTGGCGTCTAGTAATAGAAGGCGTTAAAGGATGCCCCGAGTACTTCGAGGCATGCGACAACATCGCTTGGCGTCCTCGGAATTTTCACCGCCGTCACCAGAAAATACCTGTGCTATTAGTAAGCCCTCATCTGAACCTTGCTCTCTGCATTCATGTCCGGTCAATCAGGCCTTATATAAAGATGCGTCGCGCACCAATGGGCATCCTTAAAGTTCCTCCGAGAACTGCTCTCTTTTGCATTGACCATTGTCACCGACGTTGATAGCTCTACAATGTCGAATGCATCAGCTGCAAATATATTGGCTCAGGAAGGAGTGGACTTCTTACAGCAAACGTGAGGACGACGATGCTTCCGAGGTGTTCACCCGACGAGCCTGCAATCACGTCACAGATACGCTTATGCCTACTGCTATCTCGCAACTATGGGTACGCCCCGGGTTGGACCATCCTAGGCATTTGAACTCGACTCACAGACTGGACATGTTCAACCCTCGTTCTCTTTGAGCACATTGTGACCTTCTCTGACGAGGTTCACGTCATCTGGCGGGCTAGGTTGACCACTGTCATGGTCATGTTTGTCCTCAACCGTTATCTGCTCATGATACGGGTCGTTAGTAATGCACTGACTGTCTCCTCGTGGCACACTCCACTGGTAAGTCATGTAGTGTCGTGCTGCGAGTGTATCGAGCACTCACAATCTATGCGCACACAGAGGTGAGCGGGGACGACCGCACCGTATGTTCAACGCGGTTGATAGATCGTCGCAGCTGTGAGGCTGTGAACCTTTTGGCAAACGGGACGAGTATTGTTCTGGAGGCTGTGACAGCAAGTCAGAGATTGTTCGACCTCAAATCTCATGAAGAGACTGATCGATATTTTGTTAGGCTTTTCCGCTTTCCGCACATATGCTATTAGTGGACACCAGATCGTCCCTGCATCGCTAGTATTGCTACTGGGGCTAGCGCCAGTCGGCGCCAACGTCGTGAGTATATATGTTCTCCACCATCATATGTCTGCTGAGCACCTCTGGGCAGTTTGAAGATATAAGAAGATCATACGCGTTCATCATTTACGTAGACAGCCATCCAGTTTGTACCTCTTACCTACTCTATTCCATAGCGTTAGGGAAGAAGTAAGTGCCACGTCCACCTCTCCGACGTCGGCACTCCTAGCACTGACCCTCCTTTGCGTAGACGTGAGTTTGAAGAACACCGATAATCTGTTGCTCTGACACGCACGATTCCCGCAGTTGTCTTCATCGGGCGCATCTGCCCGGCTGTATCCGATCTGATCGTGCTCCTTGTCACTTGGTTCAAAACATCCCGGCTCGCGATAGAAGTGTGGAAGCGACGGTTAACAGGGTCGATCGCGACGGTGCTGATGAGAGACGGTGAGTACGTGTGGCTCTTGATGCACACAATGCCTTACAAGCAGCCCATTCAAGGCACACTCTACTTCACGTACGTCGGGCTCTGTCACAGTACCTTGTCATGACTCTGTTCTTCCACCGTTCCTTAAGGCCCTTCTGCTTCTCGACATCCTCGAGATCGTGATCAAAGTCCGCTACAATGACTTACAGGCAAGTTTACCCATGCAAATGCATGGCCCGCTCTCAGGTAGCATTCAAGCAGAATACCGCAAACTACGTAGGAATTTTCCTGCCACCGTAAGCGACCGATCGTACCCAATTCAGCTCAACTCATGCTTACCGAGTCAATCAGAATCTCATCAATCTTGATATCACGCTTCATCCTCAACCTACGGCAGGTGTCCCTCGGCAGCATGGGCTTGAATACGACTTCTCACAGCTCCCAGAACACGCCGGACTTTCCCTCTCGCCTGGTTGGCAACTTTGGCGCCGAGGTCCAGCATACGTCTCTTGTTTTTGAAAATGTCGAGGATAACACTGAGGACGAGCAGAACATCAGTGGGGACTGTGAGGTCTACGAGTTGGCGCAGGTGCAGTAGTTCGTACAAGCTATGCGATCGTTTGGAATAGCCGACTCTGCTGGTGGCCCGCATATGCACCTTGACATGATTTTCAATCGCGATAGGCGAGCAAAATGTTATGCTGAGCTGGAACGAATTGTGCATTCATTATAGCATAAATAGCTAGGGGGAGGTTCGCCAGGCCAAAAGCTGCATCCCGCTGCCGCGACGCTGAACGTTGTCCGAGACATAGACAAAAGGCATGAATTGGTAGCGGCAGTCAATCCGTTGGACGTCCCAAATAAATTTCACAGCATAGCATGCGCCGATATTGAGACCATTGCAGGAAAAGTGTCGCAGTCTCATAAACAGTGGAGAGAGGTGGAGACACGTCGGTGGTTTCTATCGGTCCTTGCGGAGTTTCATACATTCAGGTACAGCTCGGCAGCAGCTGCAAGCATGAAAGCACATACGACCATCATCGTACACCCCACCTGAGTATGATAACCTGGAATACCTTCCTGCATCTTCAGGTGAGCCACACTTCATCCACTCAAGTCTTAATTCTACTCCCTTATCCACACTGCACCATGTCTATTCTGCGCTCCGACTCGGATGAGCTCTTGCACCTCGGTCCCCAGCATATGGCCTCACTCCTCGCACAGCAACCACCCTCTGCTTGATGCATTGATGCCCCAGTGACATTGCAATCAGTACCACTGCAATGCGGATCGAGGCAGGTGCATGCGGAACAAAATCATTGCAATCTTTGTCCATGCGTTTGACGTAGTGGCAACAATGTTTTGAGTGTTACGATAGCAGTATTCTCTGTAAAATGTATTGTCTGGCAGCCAGCTTGCACTGTCGTTCGCATGAAAGGTCTATGATCAAACGATCTGAACATCTGCATCTCAAACTTGGCAAGATGAGGCACGGACATCTGGACATCAGCTGATTGTGCCAGTATGAGTACATAAAAAACTCCACCAGCGAAAGGAATCTGCTTATGATACACCAGGGGACCAGTTCATTTCATTCGTGCGTCTATGCGTTTCCGAGCTTTGTAGATATAAACGAGAACCCGCATCAAAAGCCGCTGACAATAGCCTAACTTACACTGCGGTATTCTGCTGGCGTTTGCGGAACATCACCTCCGCCGTAGGCTCCGGGACCACTGAAGTACCGAACCAGCGGTTGCTCGGCCGTGTACCGTCACCCCCGAACTTCACGTCGTAATTCAGGATAATATATGCAAGCACCGCCTTCAGCTCATTCGCAGCAAAGAATCGCCCTGGGCTGGAGATAAGAATCAAGTGAACATCCCCTTATTGACATGAACAGCAAATTAACGTACCACGCATGTTTCCCGTGGCCGAACGATATGTATTCGGGCGACGTGCTGACGTACTGGTGCTTGATACGGTCGCTCTCGTCTGCTCGCATGTCAGAGAACCGATACGGCTTGAAGTCGTAAGGTAGGTCGTAGCTTTCATCGTCATAGTGCGTAGCGTCTGCAGCTGACCCGACAATTGTGCCAGCCGGAATGACAGTCCCATCGGACAATGTTACGTCCTTTAATGCTTTGCGGATAATCGAGACTATGAGCGATGCCAGGTCATACCCTTCATTTCACATTGGCATTTAAAGAAGAAAGTCACGTACTGCATCCGATTCCGTTCATTCTCTGGGATTCCCGCATGAAGCTATCCAGCTTCCACATCTTGCCCAAGGCAATCTTCGTCCATCCTTCCGTCTTGAGGACGCTTTCGACTTCCTCCCGAAGAGGATGTATGTGTTCAGGATTGGCCGCTAGGTGGAATAAGGCATGGGTTATGCTCTGTTCGACGACATGCGTCCAATCAATCCCGCGCGTAAACGAAAATATAGCAGAGCGCACACACTGTAGATGATGTATGTATCGCAACGAAATTGGAAGATAAAAGAGCTTGTACGACCAGATCGATGGTCTTGCCAGCGGCCATTGCTTCCTCCACCAGCCACGTCATAAAATTATTCTGAAGGACACCAACAGAGGTTAGATTTGGACAAGGTGGTGTACTGTGGTACGTACAGGCTTATCACCCCAGTCCCTCCCGTGCTCCTCCAGCTGCTTGATGCGCTCCTCTATGGCAGGCTTCACCATCGTGGAGAATTGTCGAATAGCCCTTCGTGACCATGGCAGCAAACGACCGACCAGACTATGTCAGGTATCAGTAATTTTCGGATCTGCCCTGCAGACCCGTCACGTACGGCTTAAGGATCGTCGGGGTGACAGTCAGGATAGCCCGTCCCTTTCCAACGTCAGCGGTGAAGTTCAACGCTATATCCAGGTACTCCTTGTTGCGACCTGGGCGCGGTGAGCACGGAACAACAGTCTGTTGAGCTCTCGACTTACAGAAGGGAAAGCCGACGAACACGCGGCTACTTGCACGACAAACGATCTGTCTCATGGTGGAAAGTCCTGGTACAGTCACCCATTCTACATGACCGTGACTTAGTGAGAACGTCCGGGATGGTCGCTTTGATTGTGAACACCTACCGTCACCCTTAATCGGGATCAGCTCTTCCATTGCCACACCAATTTCATCCACGACGTCTGGAAGGACAACGGCAAGGTTACGCGTGAGTGGACCGCGAATCACCGATATGTGGATCGGGTGGTCGATGACTTCCGCGGCGATCGTGTACTTCGTCTGTACCAACTGTTGAATGATTCGTACATCAGCAAGGCCAATAATCGGTTGGGGCTCATCTGTTCGCACTTCTTCCGCAGCATCCAAGAAGGACATCTCGTCATCTGGGAGTTTGCGCAGCTCTTCGTTCATTTTCGCACCGCAGAAAATTACAACCCAGCGATCCATCATGGGGATTCTGAAGACGGAGCCTTTGTGCTAAGGTCCATGTCACTCATCAGCTCTAAATGACCCAGAAAGAGAGATACCTTCTCGTATCCTTCTTGCAGCAATTCACGTGCATTTCGAGTGAACTTGTATGCTCCGATGTATGATAGTAAGGGGGCCGAAACACCGACAGCAGGAATTGAATACAGCTAAAAGTTCGTTTAGCTAGGCATTAAAGAAGCAATGGAAGCAAAGGGGCCATCGAGCGGTCCGACTCACAGGGTTCGACCTTCTGTGGATGAAGATCAGAAGCGGCATCGCGATGAGCAGGGCGTACATGATTTGTGTCGAATCCATGTTGGAAGGCAGATCACTGTAGGGGCCACGCTTGCGTACTGGTATGTTAGCATTGTGGCGAGGCTTATGAATGTCTCCAGGATAATTATTCCGCAAAATCGCGTATCGTCCGATCCCATGCAGTCAAGATGTTTCGAGAATGAGTAATACAACTTTGCTTGCGGCACCGGTGCCTGAATCATATGGCTGTTCCGGTTCACCAGTGGTTCTACCGTTTTGATTGCCATCAACGCGTACCAGCGGCATGTTTTCCGGTCATGACATGCTGTATATGACATGGATAAGAGATTTTCCACGCCAGATAAGATGGAGAAAACAGAAGCGACGTATTTGGATGACCTTCGAACAACTAGTGAGCGGAGTTGCTTCTATGGCCGTCTAAACATCCTCTCGGAAGGAGCGAGAATTTCATCTCCCAGACGAATCGTATGTGCATGCCGGCAGCCGATGGGAAACTTGAACACAGGCATCGCTACTGAGGGACGAGTAATTGCTGTGACATCATGACAGTAAATGCACGTTGCCGTTGGATACCTGGGAGAGCAGTCAGTCGGACTTTAGAAGGTAAATCACAATCGTACCACCACCAGCTGATATCTACCGACGCACCTCGCAGAGCATAGATCGAGACGATCTCTCGCAGGAGGCATCCGTGCTATGTAATGGCTAGACGTAATAAAGCCTAGCCGCCGCGCACCCATCGAATCCCAAATGCTGTTGACTTGACGATGTTCGGTGAATGCGACATGCGCGAATGCGCTCCGTAAGAAGTACGAAGGTCTGTGTCTTTTCTCCTTTCGGAGCTCAGGGACTGATAGTCGAAGTATGAGTCTGGCCTGACCTTGTTCACAGCACACACCTGGCAACGCAGAGCAACTACATCGCGCATAATTGGACAATAATAGATCATTCTTCACGTATCACGGCCCTACTTCCTCCGCGCAAGCCATACGGTGCGCAGCTCTCATCCACACTGCCCATCAGTCCAACTGCGGAGTAGATAGATGCACGACAAATGGTATGTTCTTTTCCATATATTCTGCGTGCAAGGGGCACGACGTGCTTCTTTGTTGAACAACCTTGAGAAGTTGACGGAGAACTCCGCTGTCGTGCCCGAGTTGATCGCTGCATGTTCAAATGAGGAGCGATTGTACACTGCAGTGGAATGGCACGATTTCGAGATGGCGGCAATTGACCGGATTTATTCGCGATAGGCAGTCCCACCCTTCAAAGACCTGCTTCGATCATGTCTCGTGGGTTGCACGAGCGCCCCACAATTTCCTCACGGTATCAGTTCAGGGCGCCTTGGGTGGAGACGACAGTCGCATAATCTGCGCTGGAGCACCCTAGATTTGTAGTTCATCACTGAAAGAAATTCATAATACGATAGCACAATACAGAGCTTCACGATATCGATAGCTGACCATCACAAGACTGCCCAGACTTGATTGACTACACCTGCTTCAGTCAACCCACTGAATCTTCTTCCTCTGCTCCTCCGTGAAGATAGCATTGGGTTTGTATGGGCCCCCGGGTAAATCTTTCGCTTTGAGCCGAATGTCAACCGATCTGTGCACATTGAACGGCTCGTGCTCTAGGACCTTTCGTCCATGACCCAGGTTCATTCTGTGGGTGCCATATGATGATAGGTCAGTTGCTTCCGCGACACGTAACATGTACGAATACGCACCTTATTCTCCGGTGCCATTGCCGCTTAGCGTCCTGGTACCGGTATTCTAGAGGAATCACTTCCAGAATCCACCAAACTGGGGCAAGCTTCAATTCATCGTAGATAGGTTCCAGAGCGTCCATGTAGTCCTCTTCCTCCTCGTTTCTCACGACAGATTCTGGCTCGGCAAGCGTTGAGCCAGAGCTGTCCCGGACATGGTCCATGGGGATCGAGTAAATTGCAGGCGGGCGAGGCGTGACGACGGGATAAAGCGATGCAGGGTCGAGCCCGATCGTCTTGAGCAGCTCAGCGTGGAAACGAATTCCTGTGTTGGTCAAGAAGCACTGGCGAATCATCCATCGTAACGGAATGCGGGCAAGATTCTGTGTGTTCTCATTCGATACGGAACCGCCGCCGACGTCTGGATGCACATCGCCTTAATGGAGATTGATCGGAGAAGAACCCTAGTCCCACGCACCGCAATGGCAGCCTGCAAACCAGACCTCGAGCACGTCCGTCTCCTCGTGATGCCCTTCTTGTGCAGAAAACTGGGCCTCCCAGTCAGTCGAGCCTTTCTTGGCTTTCGAGACAAAGCGCCATCTGTCCCCCGAAGCCGGCATATCGCCAGGCTGAGTCCCCAGAGCGTCTTCATCATCTGTTGGCCGATTATAGTGGTTGGCCTTGAACTTCGCACGATGTTCGTCGAGAGACAATGCATGGCGGAAGACACGGATTGCGCTGTTCGACGACGTGAATGGCAGTGTGTGTGGAATCAGTCCCACAGAGCAAACAGTATCCCTAATTATAATCACAATCATAAGTGATTGGGCTAAGGAGAGGACATTACGCCATACCAGACTCCGATGAAGTCAATAGGGACATCCATCGAGAAAGCCTTCTTGAAGGCGGTAGATTGCTTCCACCCGAGCTCATCTGTACGCGTGAACATTTTGTAGGCAAATGGGACCTGTTGATGATTGCTTTTAGGGAGCAATCCAACCTGTAGTCGAGAATCAACGAGGTCGATCAAGGGCATCATGGCAAATGCACAAACCTTGTGGATCATCCCCGCTAGAGCGCGTGCTGTGTATGCGCCTCTGGAGAAACCGAATAGACATATTTTGTCTCCCGCCTGGTCTGTGAATTCATATACGTTCAGACAACGCATCTGGCGCGTCCAAAATGCAGGACGTACAGTTGGTCATCAGAAATTCGTAACCGCCTGGATCATGATGTCAGATTATTATAGAGTAGCAATCGCGATACCGATTACACATACCCATAACATGTGCGTGCAAGCTCCATGCAAGCATTTCGTCCAGAGTCTCAGAGAATTTCGCCCACATGGGCGTGGCGATTTCGGGAATAGTATAAGTACCAATACCGGCCTATGCGCAACGCAAGTTAGCGATAAGATCACCTAGCCCACGCCACGAGGTAATTTCATGGTATCCGTGGCTTCGCGATATGATGTACCTGATAATACACCAGTTGCTCTGAGGGCCTATCTTTCATCAGCATGGAGAACAGGAGGACTACATTTGAGTTCTAATCAACAGCGACTTATCAGCAATCGCGAAGATAACGACAACACAAACATACGTCAGTATCGAACTGATCTCCTGTCCCATCGAAACATAGCACCAGTGTTTTGGAGGGGTGATATGGCGGGACGACATCCATATCGATGCTCTCGGTAGGATCCGGGGCAGCAGCGCCGTTCAAGCCGTTGTACATCGTCTGGGTGGATCTGGAGGAGCGCGAGCTTGCAGTGGAGGACGAGGATGAACTGGCAGCGAGGCGAGGAGCGGTGGGCATTATATTGGCCATTATGAGCGTACTAGTACCGATAGTGTCAAAGACCGAGAGGAGCATGGAAGATGTCTTTATAGTATTGTTCTCAAATTGAGGCGCGGGTCACGGTCCGCCGAAGCTAATAGTACCTGTCAAAGATAGAGCATTCTAGCACAGGCTTCGGATGATCAACGCTCGGCCGGTGTTGTTGCATCCGCAAAGATGGTAATGCGTTGTCGGCTGCATAGCCTTTTGAGCGGCTCGCCAGTCGGGGCCAAGACATATGGAGGGCGGGAGGGCAGTGCAGGCGACAAACGAAGACATGCAGCTTGCCACGAGCCAATCGGTCAAGACTGAGAGCCGATGGATGCATGGACATAGCGTCTTTCGACGTCTACAAGTTGAGTTTAGTGCCGTTCCGGGCGTCGATGATCCCTCGCGCGGTCGCAATTTGAATTGACCTAGACGTTGGCTTCCCTGTATGAGTACGGATCCACCACGCAAGCGGATTCGTGTCCACGCGATTGGGTTGTGACTCTCCTCTGCTCCTTGCATGGAAGAAGAGTGCGAGTGGACCAATCTAGGCATGCACATATGCGGTGAGAGTGATGCAAGTAGGAAACATGGTATTCGGCAAGCTGGCCCATCGAAGAAGATTTTTTGGCAACGCAAAGCAGGCAGAGACACGGCGGACTTTCAGCGTTAGACGTAGTCGCATGACCGACAGGCGCCCATGCCAATACAAGATCCACGATGCTGCGAGAAGTTATACGTGTATGTATATAAGTCGCAACGTTAATCGCCATGTAACGGGTATTTTTCCCGCATAACTGATGGGCTATCTGTGTTTCAAATTCCCTTCGACGTCTAAAATGTCGCTGTCATTTGCCTCAGAGTGCACCGCAACCGCTTCAAAATTACGTTGGATCTTATCATCGTGACGTTCTGACAGAGACACAATTGAGTCGGAAAAACATTATGCCAACAGTTCTTCATGCACGTATGTCACGTTTACAAGAGGGGAACCGACTGCCAATTCAGAGTGCGAGGCGCGAAAAACGTTGGTCACAGAGCCAAAGCACTATATATGTAGCTGCTGCCAGGCACTATGTTTCCACTGGCTTGGCGCTCATTTCACCGTGGGGCCATGGTTCGCACTACTATCGGACTAAAAGCTTCGCCTCAAAAGAGCGCAATCCGCGACATACATTGCATCGGTGCTGTTTCAGTCGCATCACCGCCCAGGGTTGCAACTTTGAAGGATTAATATAGATGATACACCTTCGGAAGCGCACTGTTCGCGTTTACAACTTGCTGCGCATTTCACTGTCTGTGTCACAGGCAATGCATGATGGAGATCAGCCGCCGAGCAAGCCAACCGTCAGGCGACGCTCGGTGTTGTCAAATAAATCCATAACGAGAGTGGGCTAAGCCAATAGCAATTGACACACTGGATTCGCGATACGTAGCATGTAGGAGCGCATCATCACTGCGGAAACCGAGCAGTTGAATGACATGGGCTTTTGATTGCGACGTCGATGCTAGCGCCACAGGGCCCAAAGTACCCTCCCAGCCTTGGCATCATCAAGCGCTAAATGAGCGCTCGGTTGGAACTCCTATGGCCTTGATCTCTGCGCTGAGTCAGCGCGGCATTGTGTTCAGCGACGACTACGTAGCAGCTCTGAAAGTGGTCCATGGCACCAGCAGAGAAGGAGAAGACGAACGGGAGCACAGAGCCAAAGCAGAGACGGCGACCAGGACGCGTTCCTGTCTCTTGCGCGGAGTGCCGCCGGTGAGTTGATCCTGCCTCTATATGGCAGGCGACATTGACACCGTTGTCAAGTTTGAAACTTCGGTGCGACCGAAAGGTCATTTGTTTCGGGTTTGATGCGGGAAGTGACGTGCTAATTGAGCGAGTTGTCAGGTCCCCTGTGAGACATGCGTCAAGAGAGGATGTTCTGCTATTTGTCCAGAGGGTACGTTCATAATGTTCGTAATTGTTGTGAACATTTCATAATCCATTATGCTTCAATCCAGGTTCATTGACCACGGGAAGCCGTCATCGGTGAGTATCGCGAATATATCAAGCGATTAGCAATCGAGAACATCAACTTTCATTAGCCTCGCACTGGCAGATGCAGAAGAATTACAAAAGAAAATTGAGCGACTCCGGAACCGCTCCACCGCTCTAGAGGAAGCGCTGCGGACACTTCAGGCTGCCGTCTCCGATGAACCGCATCCCTTGTTGCAAGAAAGCAGCATACAGGCCGGGCCCGCGGAATGCAGTCCGAGCAGAGGCGTCCCAGACGGTCCGCTGTTAAGTCGAGAAGATGAGGAGATACTAGATGCATTTGGTTGGTAGATTCAATATTCCTTTGGTTGTCCATTATTTATCGAAGAGGAACCTCAGGTACACTGACCCTCGGATTGCGAGGCGAGTCGAGGTTCTTTGGCCAAACTGCACGTTCTGAGGTATGTCTTACAGTGATTAGATTCACAGCAACCTTACAATGACAGGCGGGACTTGTAGTATCTCATACATGTAAAGCAACATCTTGCCTCCATGCACTTCATCCGTTCACCCTGCAATCATAGGCACCGACAAGAAATCTCATGCCATGTAGTGCACCATATCCACGTATCTCAGAAGAGCTTGTAAAGGAGGCCAACATGGAGCTGGACATCGCTTGTAGCAATCGTCCGGTCCAGCAGCAGATCCTGACTCATCTTCCGCCGCTGTCACAGGCATGCCATCTGTGCGAGATATTCCTGGAGTATGGACAATTCATGTAAGTGATTACAATATTCTGCATTCTGCGATGTCAGTCATCACACGAGATGGACAGGTGGTACCCGATACCGCGAGATGAGTTGTTCGACGAGATTATGGGCCGGGTATACCAGTCCGTACCGTGAGTCTCGTATGCTGTGCGGCTCTCCATGAACCCTCTTAGACTGACACCTGAGGCAGCGAGCAGGTCTGCTCGCTATCGTCAACGCACGCAACTTCGCTTTTGTTCATGGTATTCGCCCTTACTACATTGTTCGACCCGAGCATGCCTCCGTACTCAATCGAAGCGCACGAGTATTACCTGCTAGCACGTCTCAGTTTGCGCTGCGGGCCACCGATACACGACACGACACTGTTCGCGATTCAAAGCATGGTACGTAATCTGCATGAAGGAGCGTGGGACGGGTTTGTGATGCTGTTCGTAGATCTACATGGCACAGTATCTGGAATTGAGCGATTGCGAGCCTGCGCATACAGGCTCGCACAAGGCTTGGCTACAGATTGGCTTGGCTGTCAAGTTGGGATACAGTGTATGTACAGTACCTCGGGTTTGCTTCTATCTCATGAGCGCTGACGAATGAATTGACAGATCGGACTGCGTAAGTTCCGCTCTTTCGTGCTGTCTCAGGTCGAGACTCGAATTTTTATATATGTAGATATGAGCAGCGCCCGTTGGAAGCTTCACGAAGACGCCTGTCAGAGGCGATCGCGTGTTTTCTGGCAGCTGTTCTTGCAGGACACTTGGATTGTATGCGTCTTACGATATGATCGGTTACACACGTTGGCTCATCTTTCCTATTCAAAGAGCTTCGGCTTCGGACGACCTCCGAGCATGTCCTTGGCATTTATCGACTGCGGGTTTCCCAAGGACCCGCTTGAGAAGGTCAATGAACAAGGGCAGAAAGAATGGGGATGTAAGCGCCGTCCCACAAGCATATTCGATATACTGATAATGCTTTGCAAGTCCACCACTGGACATGGCAGTATACCAGATTGCTGAATCAAGTTATCACGTCGGTCTTTGGAGCACGGCCGCCGCAATACTCGACAATAGTGGAGTACGACCGCAAGATCCGCGACTTCCCCGTCCCGTACAACCTGCGTCCGAAGTGCAACAACGACGGGTTCGAGCCGAACCAGAGCATCCCGGAGTTGATGCAACGTTTCTTCACGATGTCGTGCAAGGAAGCGAGTGAGTGGCTTTGCACTGAGGCGCGCGGCGCGAGTGCTGAATGGACACAATCGGGTCTATCAATGCAGCGCTGCTGAGCTTGCACCGACCATTCTTCGTGCAGGCGCTGCATGAACAGCCAGTTGACCTGCTGCGACACCGCTATGGCCCATCCGTCATGGCCATATACCGCTCTGCATGGAGAATCATCGAGATTGCTCGGGGGTCATTCAAGCGTGCCACAGTGGTCGCCTCCAGGATCGGGATTATCTGGTCACAGAGCTTAGCGGCTGGCGTACGTTCCCTTCATCCTGTCAACCATCCAATATACATTGACGGCTTCGCGCTAGATCGTGATGTGCCTATTAGTCACACGCGCGCCAGGGTCGCCACTCGCTTCCTCTTCGCTGAACGAGCTTGACAAGCTGTGTGACCTCTTTGAACAAGCCGCGGGCTCATCTCAAATCGCGTCCAATAACTTGGTACGCCGCTGTCCCCTTCCTCTGCCGGGATGAATGGAAGCACTCACTAGGCGCGCACAGGACGTCGTTCGCAAGCTACGGCGGCAGGGCCATGAAGTCATGACTAGACCCCGCTCACCAGGTGACCGCGAGGTCGTCGTGGATAAGGAACTCGACCGCCTCGGAGGCAGGACTCATCTCATCTCGTCCGCGCACGACCCCCCGACGAGCTGCTCGACCTCCTCGGCTGCAGCAGCAGCAGCCGCTGTCACCTCGTTCACGCCTAGTCCCACGCCTGTGACGGACGTTATCCACCCGACGATCATGCAGGACCTGCGCGTCTTCGAGGGGACGAGCGGCTCGATCGACTTCGACTTCCGCATGGAATGGCCGTCGAATGTGCTGCAGCAGCAACCGCAGGCGTTCTTACCTGAATCAAACAATATCTTTGACGAGCTGTTCGGGACGCAGTCATTTCCTGTGGAGCCGGACCCTGAGCCTGTCGGGCCACCCGTATTGGATGCGACGTGGCAGTCGTTTATCGAGCAGCTCGGCTTCTAGGTATGAGGAACTTTCTGGCTGTCTCACTCGCGTTCGATTGTGTATCGTTTCACGCATCTCAGTACTGCTCAGTTTATCTGTTGTATACTTCAGCACTCGTGCACTTAGCCTTCCATTTAGTGCTCTCTGGTCTTGGTTAGTATGCAATGCATCCTCTTCACATATAGAACGCTGCCGACAATTATACGATCTATTGGGAATCATATCCTCTATATACTCGACGGCGTCCCGTTTCCCTTAGGCGGACGCCGTGCGCATTAATCCCACACTGCTACCATAAGTAGAGATTGAGCCGAGGTTCTGCACTACCACATAGGCTGTCCGGTGTCAACCCCAGGGTAGCTACGCAGGTAGGCGCACATGTTTCTGTGGGTTTCCGTGGTATCCTCGTTCTAGCGTACACTCTGCTTTGGATGCGCGCGGCGCGGTCAGTCAGACCCGTCGTATCCGTTCGGATTCTTCGATTGCCAGTTCCAGAGGTCCCTGCACATCGTCTCGAGCGTCTGCGGCGCCGTGAACCCAAGCTCCTTCTGCGCGAGGGCCGGGTCAGCAGTCAGATCGGGCACGTCGCCCTTTCTGCAGTTCGCATACACAATCTTGTCAGCGTCCCATACGTTCTGTATAAAGCCTCTACTGACCTCCGCCCGACGATATCATATTGGTAGTCAAACCCGGTCGCCTTGCGCATCGCCTCGATGATCTGGAGGACACTCATGCCCTTGCCCTTGCCGAGGTTGTACGCCTTGTAACGCGCCTCTGTCGGGCAGTTATCGAACACCTTCGATCCCGGCGCGAGTGCGTCCAGGGCGAGCAGGTGTCCTTTGGCGAGATCAAGCACGTGGAGGTAGTCGCGCACGCAGGTGCCGTCGCTGCAAACGGCGATCGGTGTGCATTACAAGTTACAACAGACGCAGCACTCACGGCGTCGGGTAGTCGTTTCCAAAGACCTGCAGCTTGTCTTTGATGCGGCCGACGGCGATTTGGGCGAGTAGCGGGAGGAGGTTTCCCGGTCGGCCTCGTGGGTCCTCCCCGATGAGACCTGACGGGTGCGCACCCGCAGGACTGTAGATTGTCAGCATCTGTGATGTCAATCACGAATAGAGGACTCACTTAAAGTACCGAAGCGACAGCGCACGCCATGTCTGCGGCTCGGCTAGAAGAATCCATCGGTCATGGCTCAATCAAGCAGCTCCCGGCCACGTACCACTGCACAGGTCGTCGATGATCGTCTCACACATGACCTTGGTGTTGCCATACGGGCTCTGCGCCTCGAGGCGCGTCGTCTCGGGGATGGGGATGACGGGGGGCGTGCCGTAGACGGTTGCGCTGGATGAATAGACCACGCGGTAGCATTCGAACTCCTTCATGATCTGCAGCAGCGTGATGGTCGCGCCGACGTTGTTTGCGTAGTACGTGAGCGGGATCTGCGTGGACTCGCCGACGGCCTTGTACGCGGCGATGTGGATGACGCCCCATATGCCGCCCTTGCCGTACCGCTCGAACACGGCGCGCACGTCGTCAGGCTTGGTGAGGTCGACGGCGTAGGCATCGATCTCGGCGCTTTCCTTGTCTTGGGCGGAGGCGGAGGCGGGGAGGGCAGCGCGTGCGAGCTCTGCGACGCTGACGAGGGCTTTGGGATTCGAATTGTGGTAGTTGTCGACGGAGATGACCTTGTATCGGCGGGTTTCTTGCAGGGCATAGATGACATGTGAGGCTGGCAAAGGCGATGAACATGCCACGCCGGTTTAGAAAACGAGAAACGCTCACCGATGTAGCCTGCACCTCCGGTCACCAGCACACGCTGAGCGCGTCAATCAGTTACGGCAGGCGTGTAGAAATCTTGCAATACACACTTTGAGCGGTTCCTGTGCCATTGTCGGGACGTCGATGGTAAGAATGAGAGTGGTTGCGGAGGTGCCCCGCGTAGAGAGGGTATTTATCCGAGTCGCATCGCGCCGTCGCCCATCGCTGCGTCGAGATCAAGTCCTCGATAACCATGTGGCGAGCGCGGACTCTCCCCGGACCGTCTTAAACTCCCTGAATTTTGCCTTTGGACCAATGATGTGCTCGACGACGGCCTGGAGTGAGATATGCATCCAATGACGTACTCTACATATGCTACATTGCTCAATGGATATACAGTTCACGATGCAGTCGACAGCTGAAGCTGCCGTCCAGCCCCATATTTGCCGCGGTGGCCCAGCTCTGCAGTCTCGAGTGGCCCGTATGCTACCTCGCCGGACTGTCCGTCTCCATCTTCACATCACCCTCCGAATCTCGCACCGCCAGGCTGGCGCCGTTCGGCACACCCTCCTGCGCAGGAGACTTGCTAAGCTCGCCCCCGGACACATCTCCACTCGCCACTGGGGCAGCTGCAGCGCTCGCCTCTTCCATCGTCTCGTCCTTGATCCCCGCGGCAGCAGCAGCAGAAGCATCCTCACTCGCTGCCGCAGCCCGCTCTCTCTCCTCCCGTTCCTTCTCTTCCCGTTCTCTCTTCTCCTTCTCAATCTCTTGCGCCAGAAGCACGATGTCCCCCGTGCCGATCTTCCCGAAATGCTGCAGATACTGATCGCGAGCGGCCCGCAGAGCAAGCCATGACCACCGGTGTTTATTCTGGATCGACGAATATAACACGAACAGCGTCAGTACCGGGCCGACAACCTTCAGGCCAAAACGAGCGATGACGTACCTCCTCATGCTGTAAGATTATCTCGTCTGAAGGCAAAGCATGTGCAGACTCCGGCGCTGCAGGCGGCACCGGCGTCGATACTCGTGCGGCCTCCGGTTTTGGTGCGAGGATTTCAGTGGTTGATGGCGGTACTGTGCCTGGCTTTGCAGGCAAGGAGGGATGCAGGGGCGCAGAGGGTGTGTGTACTCGCGAGGGCACGGCCGATGAAGGCTGCGTTGACGATGCTTCTTGCGACACCGGTGGTGTGGACGCCGGTGCTGGCGACGCCGCCGCCTCCTTGGCCGCTGCCGCCTTTGCGCGTGCTTTCGCCATACGTTCGGCAGCCATCGTGAGTTGCTTCTTTCGCACCTCTATTCGCGCATCCTCCTGTTTGACTTTCTTGACAAAGTCCTTCACATCACCAGGCCTTATGTAATAGTCTATCAGTGTCAAACGATTGGAAGGCTTGAATGAGACGCACTGGAATGGATGCTCGAGATCGCTCAAGTCTCGGTATCCCAATGCCCATATCTCTGTCAATGGCGCAGAGCCCAGCTCATACGGCCAAGGATCCGGGTCGACCCTCATCCTCTTCCTCGCCTCCCTCGTTGCCTCCTCCAGGCCCACCTTCCTTTTCACCCCATCAACCTCAACTTCCTCTGACCATGGTGGCTTGTCAAAGGGCAAACACAATTCATTCTTCCAGCGTATCCAGTTCTTCTCACGCTCGAGAATGACATGCACGGTGTCCGCGAACGCGCGCCCGTTCGGTGCCGTCTGTCGTAGTTCCTCAGTCGCCTTCGTCACCGTTTCCTGTACCCACTGCGCGTCGTCGCCCTCGAGGGTAAAGTCGATCTGCAACGAACGGTTCCGTTGCGTCGACCACGTCGCTTTTGCGCTCTTTGTGAAGGTGAGAAGATGACTGAGGAGGATGAGAAGTTGGAGGAGGAATTGGCGGCGGAAGTGCGTGTCGGCGATCTAAACGTGCCGTTGAGCGAGTGTATGCGTAGTTATTACCGGATCAAATGACAAACCTCAAGATCCAGCAATTCAGGGCTCGTGAGATACTTGGCAAAGAAGTAGTCCTTGCCAGCATTGTCCTCCATAACCTCAGGTTCGCGTTTGCGCTTCAGCGAGCCCGTAGTGTGTGCACCTGCCTTGCTGCCCATCAAAGCACGTTCTTTGGCGTTCGCCTCCTTGATCACGGGCAGTACTTTGTCTACCGCCCCCTTGAACTGTGCGAACGCCCCCGATTCTGAGAACAGGAGAGGGCGGGAGAACGGGAGCTGGAGGAACCAGAAGGTGTTGTAGAAGTCTGGAGTAGAACGTAAAGCGACAATGCACGAGCAAGGTCGGTCCGCACTCACCCTCCTTCTGGGCTCGCTTCTTAGCCTCTGAGTCTTCCTTCTCCTCGGGCTTTACCTCGTCCACTTCCATCTTATCTTCTTCACCAGCAGCCTTCTCTTTCACCTCCTCCTTCTTCTCCCCCTCCGCCTCGCCCTTGTCGCTCGTCTCCATCTTCACCTTGTCTTCTTCCTTCTTTATCCCAGGGCCTTCCCATACAGGCCCATACTCTCCCCTCAGGTTTACCCCACTCCGCTCACTCAGAGGGAACACGGAGCTCAGAAACGTCAATATCCGCCCGCAGAAATTCGTCGTCCCGCCCATCTTCGACAGCCGGCGGAGGAGGTCGTTGAGCGTGCGGAGGAGGACGAGTGCCTTTCCCTTCTGCGGGACCATGCCCGCAGTGAGGCGCGATGCACGTAGTTCAATCCAGGAGAAGATCTGTGAGCAGGTGGCGACGGTTTGCGTTTCGAGCAGATCGTAGAGGATCGTGAAGGGGAAGGCGGATTCGCAGGCATCTGTACGGGGTCAGCTTGGAGAAGACAGAAAGAAGAGAGGATGGCGGACCGTATTCGGTGAAGGTTAACGCAACGTCGAGCCTATTTTGCATCTCTTCATAGTACTTGTTACGCGAGTCTTTCAACGCGGTCCCTTCTGTAGCCTGCAATACACATCCTTATTGTCCGCGAACTGGAAAAGCCAGCATGCACACGTACTGCGAGCTTGAATATCTCATCTTTGATCACAAACTCCCACTGGATTTTGCGCAAGTCAGTCGAAGGGGTTGAGTCGGTTTCTTGAAGTGTTTTGGAGACGAGCGCATCAAGCGTGGGCTTGTCGAGGGGGTGAGGAAGTGAGCTCAAGAGACTCTGCAGGCTCTTCTCCAGAGCTTGCATGTGCGTTGTTCTCTGCGAGCTTGAGTGGGCGACACGGAATTCAAAGTGTCTCCTCAGTGAGCCAGCTGACGGAGTTGAAAGCAGGGATTGGATGAAGATATAGAGCTAGATGTGGCTCTTGTCGCGCAGCCACCCTTCAATATTCAATGGGCGCCTACCAACGTTGGGCGTCGTGCCACGTCTGGACTCTGGACTCTGACTGATCGCGTATCCCGCCACTCCGTCGCCGACGACAATCACGATGGTGAGCAAATATTCGATGTTTAATAGCGATATCGTGACGCTGGATCGCGTAGTCTTTGCCATGGGAGGTCCGCATGTCCAGTTCGCGCAAGTTACCCTACTTCTACAACACCGAGACGTCCCAATCAGTCTGGGAGCCACCCGAGGAGCTCACGCAGGAGGAGATCGATGCTCTTCCCGGTGCAAAGGAACATCTGCTCAATCAGGGTGCCGGCGCACGTCCAGCGCAAGTGCGCGCGAGCCATTTGCTCGTGAAACACAAGGGAAGCAGGAGGCCGAGTAGTTGGAAAGAGGTGCGTCGGCAACGGTTCAGATGATTTCAGACAATCTCAGCATGTACCCAGGCCAATATTACTCGCTCGAAGGAGGAGGCCATCGAGATTCTGAAGGGATATGCTGCAGAGATCGACGGTTCGCCTGAGAAGTTCGCTGAGCTTGCAAGCGTACACTCGGACTGCTCTTCGCATGCTAAAGGCGGCGACCTTGGATGGTTCGGACCTGTGAGTCTTGGCTCTGTTCTCTTTCTGGAGGCAGTCTCTGAATTCTGAGGTTACGCACGTAGGGTCAAATGCAAAAGCCCTTCGAGGACGCGACATATGGACTCCAAGTCGGCCAGATCAGCGACGTGATCAGCACGGACAGCGGAGTGCACCTTATCCTGAGGACCGGTTGATTGAAAGAAGACGCACAGAAGAAGAAAACTTGTTGTACCATATACTGGGACTTTGTGTTTCGATATCACTGTCCGCATACCGACATCGTTGTACTGGAATAAGCTCCAATGTTATAAAGCCTCTCCCTTCCACATATTGACCCCGTGTACATTGCTCGCAGCCGCGCTTTTATACGCATCATCTTGTGTCCTACTTGTTTCGCATGAGATGATGTCTGCTATGGGTCGCGCTGAGTAAAGAGTAATTTACATAAATAGATAGAATTATAACACGACAAAAATATGTACTTCGCTCTAGTACGCTAGAGCATACGCTAGTGGAAGCAAGCATATATAGCCAATAACTCCTATGTCCTACTCTACGGTCCTGCCCACACATCAAATGGCAAACAAAAATGACACTCATCCAGCATCTCCCAGAACCTCTCCCTCTCTTCCCTGACCACTCTCGCCCGCGCCTCCGCGTCCTCGACGGTCAACAAGCCCTCCACCTTGTGCACAATCTGCTCTATCAGCTCCACCGGCAGCCGGGACCGCAGTGCCTCCCACGCAGCACGCGCGATCCACGCCTTCTCCTGCGGCGGCACGCGGTCGGTCGTCGGCGGCAGGCCCCACACGGAGTTCGAAATGACGCTGCTGTCGCCGAGCTCGGGGTCGAGCAGCGCAACACTGATGAGCGTGAGCGAGCCCGGCGCGCCGGAGTCTAAGAGGCGCGCAGGGGTGAGACGGTGCTGGTATACGTTGGGCCAAGCGATGGCGCGCCGAGGGCAGAGGGGCACGTGCCCGAGGCGTTGGTTGCATGGCGAGAGATTGCCAAGGCCCCAGGTGAGGAAGGTCGTGTTCGCGTCGCCAGGAGGAAAGTTACGAGGCGACGTGACGGAGGTGCGAAACTCGAGGGACGGTGGGGTGATGTTGGTCTTTGAACATTGCAGATTATTGAGGGTGCTGCGGACAGGGCTGAGAGGACGGACTGCTCACCATTGCAGCACAGTATATGGTGCATGCGACTATGTGCTCGTTGAGCATACCTTCGACGTGCCAGGGCGTGCTGCCAAATTCGGGACCTCCAGGACGCTACGGATTGTTATCACAAACTCTCGAAGGACGTTTTTCAGACAGCCACCTACCAGCCGGATTTCGGTCACCCTCACTATGGCTTTGATCGTCTTGCCTCTCAGGCTCACTACCGTCTGCCTTCGCTCCAGATCACCCGGATATCCCGTCCGCGGCACGTCCGGCATCTTTGCAGGCCTCTGCAGTGCCCAATTTCTCAGTTCGCGCTCGAACACTAGCCTATTATCCTCGTCGTCCGAGCGATACGGCTCGTCTGGCTCGTCCCACGCGATGTCCGTGTCCATCGCGCGCACGCGCAGCTGCAGGGCGTTCGTGCGGTGCAAGTCGGTGAGAACGTGCTCGAAGAGCGGAACGCACCGGGCGACGAGTACTTCGAGATCGGTGTAAAGGGCGGTATTGTGAGGGTCGACGTTGACGATGTAGGAGAGAGCCTTGGCCTGGAGTGGATCGGAAGCGGACGAAACAGAGAATGGGGTTGGAATGCATACAAAGAGGGGTGAGGCAGAAAAGGCTTCACAGTCGGGCGGGACTACGGGTAGGAGATGCGAGGGCGTGTGTGGCTTGTGATAGACCGCAGTATCCCCGTATGCCAGGCAGTACCGGTACGGGTCAATCAGATCGACAGTGGTTGCGTCGTGGCTCAAAGTAATTTCTGAAGACAGGCTGTTGAGCTCAGAGTCAAGTGCAGGCAGTTCAGCCATGTGTAGAAATGTGTCGGACTGCCATATGCGATCGGCACAGGACACTTGACTATTTGACTGAGTTCAGAATACAGCGTAGAAACCCAGCAGCACTTGCCATCTATATTTCTCGTCGTAGAGAGCGGCATAGCCGCTGAGCTCGTCAAGAACATATTTGATCTGGGGAATTACAACATCGCACTAGAATCTGCGACTTAAAGTGTGTCAGACCCACCTGCGTATGCGACAGCTGAACACTCATAGGCCCGCTGTTGAGGGGCACAATCCAAACAGTCTCGGTACATTCAATCGCCCACTGCTGCCTGACGACTTCGTCCATGACATGGTCCCGCCAATCAGGCTTAGAGCGCAGAAATGACGAACAGCGGTACATGGCCAGCTCTGTCACCTGAGTGAGTTATGAGTCAATTGCAGAAGTGGGCCGTATAAAGTTCTACTCACCGTCCGAGGGACTTCACCGACGCCGTACAAGAACTGTCTCCCATCACGGAACGGATGCATGTACCCTCTGTGGATCAGTGGGCTTGCCATGGACGATTCTATGACCGTTGTGAACCGTCGGCGTCGGGTTCAGAGTGGCAGGATGAGGCGCCTGAGAGCACAACAAACCAAGTTTATATTTCCTCGCAGGTGCATAATAGAATTTTATGTTGCTGGTTGCGGGCGAAAGGCGGGCCAAAACTCGGAGCAGGCTAAGAGGGGTTACCGAGGACGCGGCTTCCCGTGCGCGTACTCGCACGTGACTAACACCTACACAATGAGCGGCAAAAGTATTTTGGCGCTAATCTCGAGTTGAACCTTTCGCACCCGCCCAACGTGTTCATTGCTCTCGTCGTAACTGGAGGTCGAAGTCGAGCCGTCGTGACTAGATTTTGTAAAATGACAATAGTTTCTTGACATTCGTTCCACAAGCATCGTTGTCAAAATCATAACTGATTATTCTGTCCTGATGGCCTCAGCTTTATACTAATTGTTGGTCTCTCAAATGTTCTCATAGAGTCTATGAGAAATTGATACACCGCGATTATCAAATGCCGAGGTCCATTAGTATCAGGGATGGTGGTTCAGGTCGTGAATATGCGATTGCAGGATACGCATCGCAGCTTGTCTATTCGAAGGGTTAGCAGGTCTGTTCCATTGCCAACGCCATTGGTAGGAAGCGAGGTGAGCTCGATAGTCTTTTGCACTGGCTTCCATGTTGACAGGCATGTATGATTTCCGCCTGTGATCGCATCGCATCTATGTACCACATTTGCTATGACCCTGCGATGGCAGCCCCACTGATTACCCCCCTCCCCCTCTGTCCGATGAAACGTGCACCATCGAGTCAAATCTTCACCGCTGCCACATGTATGAGATCTCGCGGATCTCTTCGCTTTTCCACGTGTTTACTGAAGCTGTCATCATCGCCCTTCTGATGCCTATGTATCCTATGGTAACAACGCAAATGCAGCAGCCGAGACATACCTCTTCCCTACTGAGGAGACTTTCTTCAGACTTCAAGCGTCCTTCGTACTCCCTTCATGATATAGTGCAAGGTTCCGCATTCATCCTATGGATTCTATCTACCTCCACTCAGCGAAGATGCGGGCGAACACGAGTCTGATGATCAACGTGCCATTTTCATGCATCAGAAGTGATGTTCTCATCTCTGGAGATCTGTGACGAGCACAGTTTCATGGACGCGCTCATATGCATAGGTGCGAGGCAATGGTCACCGCAATACCGGAAGCCATCCAAGCAGTCTGCGTCGATCACCTCACCACCTCACTTCTCGGCCTGCATGCCTGCTTTAGAGTGGGCTACAGGCAACGTACGAACTTTTGTTCTCTGCTGTGAAAGGTAAGCATCATCACCCCTTATTCTGATGTTTTAGACTTGGATTAGCTCGCACTGACACATTATATCAGTGATCCGTCTTCTAGCCTTTAGAGGGAGCACTTGACAACTGGGTTTCGGCAGGGCATCCTGCGTCGCACCCTTGTCTGCACCCGACACGTCACTTGCCGTCTCCAGCACACTTTCCAAACCAAGCATTACCGAAGTGGCCTGGTCACCGACGTTGTAAGGAGCGGACTCTACGTCCTCGTCACTCGTTAGAATACCCTATACCCTCATATCGATTTTCTGTCCGCCCACCGTCCCGGAAGCGTCCTAGTCGTTAAAGGTCATGGCTATGTCGGCCATCAACATTACAAGCCCGTTGCCCTCTGGTTGTGCAGTAAAGAACCTCGTATGCAGATCTTCTTTCGGGGGGTCATTTATTGTTATCAAGTCTTCCATTGTTACCTCATCTTCCTCAACCACCATCAGCACTGCTTCCGTCGTGGCATTCCCGTCATCGCCGACATCGTCACCGATTTACCCATCGACGCTCACGTCTACGTCTGCTTCCACGACCGCCCCTTCGGCTGCGGCTCAGCCGAGCGCAGAAACTGCGCCAACCGGTTCAACGCTGTCCACTACAGCTTCGGTGCCGACATATGCTAATACTGGTACTCCGGTCGACCAGACTACCAGTACTGCGGCAACGACGTCACAGACGATATCCACGACCAGCGATTCAGCGGTGGCCGGTGCTGCATCATTTTCAGCCTCGGGCTTAGCAGAGATTGCTACGGCGTACACAATGTAAATCGTATTCGTAATTTTCGATGATGAAGCCACTGATGTCCACCTAGCACAGGCGACACCGCGGCGAGTTCATCTTACACTTCATCATTGAGCGCAGCAATACATACGTCAATTTGGACTGAGATTTCCAAAGTAACTATCAAAGGAACATTGATTACAGTCAAAACATCCGGGACATTTGTCAACGCGGAGACGACGAGCGACTCGGTGGGGACCTACACGAGCTACGTTACCGACACGGATGTGGCGGCCAGTCCTGTTACTTCTGGCAATGTTTCACCTTCCTCTTCCGATTCGTCAACGGCATCAAGGTAAGGAATGCATCTCATCTCCTTCTCATATCACCATCTGATCATCCGACCGTTGTGGCTGTTACCCCCACGATGCTCCCATGACCGTTGTTCGAATGGGCCGCGGGCGTAGGCATTGCAGTACTGGCAAGATCCTCGGCGGAGTCCTCGGGGCGCTCGCCGCCATCCTAGTATTCATTGTCCTCCTTTTCTACGGCCGCCGCCGCCGCCATCATCGCCGTGCCCAACGCATTCGCCAGTCCGCCAGTCCTTCCTTCGGGTCGAATGCTGCTGTGCTTCTACCATCCTCTTCAGCGGACAGCGGCAACTCCGTCTTTCCGACCGCCGAGAGTTTTCATCGCGAAAGCCGCATTGGGCAAGTCGTGAGCACGTATATGTCCGGCGCCACTACCCCTGCGCGTGCACTGACCGTCTCCCCGCGGCTGATCCTACCCATGTCTTCTGAGGCTCTGAGTCCGCAGATGCGCGAGGCAGACCCATTCGCCGATCCTGTCGCTCTCGCGCGGGAGCGCCCGGTGTCCCAGATGTCCGACGACTCTCCGACAATTCGCGCTCCCCTGCCAAATCCGTTCTCTGGTCCAATGCTTGTCCCATGGCAGAGTGAAGAGACGCCTGTGTGCGATAGGATAGCTAGTAGGCTTTCTGAACAATCTGAAAAGTCGGAAGTGGAGGTCAGTTAGGCAGGGCACTTATATATATTGAGCAATGACCCTGATCAACTCTGTGTAGACTATATATGCGGTTTGAACTGTCGTGATTGACGTATCCTGCGGACTCGAAGATGTGTGTCGTCACACTGTCGCGAGCTTGTTCTCTATGAAGCAACGCTTCTTACACGGTCCTCTCCTTTGCATAAGATGTAGGTATGCTTGTCGCTTGATATAATGTGATGTATATCACAACAACAGAGTTATATGCTTTCCCTTTCTTCTCTGCTTACTGAGCACCGAGGGCGTCGCATGCGACTGAATGGCTATACCGCTGACGATCAACATAACAAACCTTCGTCTGAGGCCCATACCACGCCTTGATCACCATCATGCTTATGGACGTTCGTTGAGTCACGCTCGTGCCATTGACATTGGCGACGACATCGAGGTACCCCTCTTCTTTTTAGCATCTCAGCTCACTTGGTGCTTCTACAGCTACCGGCGCACTGTGCCTTACCTGTTACAGTTATCTAAGTCGAAGGTGGTAAGTCAAACCCTATCATTCATTTGATCCGTTTCATCAATGTTGGATGGTTGCTAGTGCTGACCTCGCAGTTGCTCCCCCATGCGTTTGGCAGTGCATTCAATATCGCGCCACGGCCCCATGCAATTCTTCCCTCCTTCGCAACCGTAAAGGCGAGTATTGCGACTCCCTTGCCACTCGCCATATCGCAAGCACCGGGCTCATACGTTTGTCACTCCTTAGCATCTGCCGATCCCTGACCTCGGACTGTCCTTTTCCCTCAAACGTTTTCCGCTTATGCAAGGCACGATTGCGACATGACAAGCCAGTCATACGCCGATCCGTTGATGTTGGAGGACTGGAGGGGCACTGCGACGTGCTTTCATGGGTTCCAATATACATGTCCGATCACAATCCCGGGCAATACTGGTACAACCCTACCTAAGAAGACCTCACCCTCTGTCCCAACATCACCAGCCTCTACTATGTCCACGAAGGCGACATACAGTAGCACGGTAGCGGTGACATCTGCAAAACCTTCCACGCAGATTCCTCCTATATCCTCTACTGCCACTGCGACTCGCACCAGCCAGCCTTCGCCTCCCGGCGTATCTTCCGATACAAGCGTGGTTACCGACCCTCCAACTCCTCAATCAAGCAGCGCTCCGCCTTCCGCTTCCACAAGCTCCAATGCCGCAGGCGCATCACAGTCTCCCACTATTGGGACGGGCACCGGACCCAACCAGTCGACAACATTATCATCAGTTGCAATCGTCTCCTCAGCCTCTGAAAGCGAAATGTACGATACACTCAGATCAGCCTTGTGTCTACGCTTACACTCTACCTAGCACAAGCAGCGTGGACTCTAACGTGCCTTCAGACGCTAGTTCCATCATAGTCCCTTTCACAAGCATCGAGACGATCCGGAGTTCGGTCACCGTCACCGAACAAAGCACAACGTACACTACTTTGGAGACTTTCACGAGTACCTCCGTGTCGCTTTTGACGATGTACCCTTCTTCTGGCTCCTACAAGGAGGTTCCCTCTGGTACTTCTCCCGCTAGTAGCCCGCTTACCGCTTCCAGCACAGCTTCATCATCAACATCGAGGTACGAATGCGATATTATCTCTCTCACGAACAGCATCTAACGATCTGTCTATCCTAAACGTATCCCGCTCACACGTACCCTCACCGAATCATCTTTACCTTGATCGGCCTCTACCAGCAAGCATTCGTCCACTGGAAAGATCCTTGGCGCCATCCTCGGCATCCTCATCCTCCTCATACTCGTCCTAGGTCTCCTCTTCTATCGCCGCCGCCGCCAGCGCGCCCGCGAGAAGAGACTGCGCACCTTCCTTGCCGCGCGGTACCCAATCAGCTCCTTCTCTCCCTCGCCCGTCCCTGCCACTGCCCCTGCAGAGCCCACGCCTCGCTCCCCGCCGCCCTACCGCTCTCCATCGATCAGGACCAGCGGCAGCAGCGCCTTTCTTACCGCTGAGAGCCACGTGGAATCGCCCACCGATACGGACGGCGAAGTCGGGCACGTCATCAGCATGTACCGTTCCAGCTCGGCGACGCTCTCGCGTCTCTTAATGGTCTCCCCGCGGCTGGTCGTTGTCCCTCCGGCCAGCGCGGTAGATCAGGAGACGCGCGAGGCGGACCTGGCGACTCGTCCTACGCCTCAATCGGTAGATGGTTCGCTGCCGAATCCGTTTGAGAATCCTCCGGAGATGCTACCGTGGCAGACCAGCATGGGAGAAGTGGGGAATACGAGGAAGCACAGCATCCTGTCGGACTTGTCAGAAGGACGAGATGTAGTGGTGAGTCGGGAAATTCAGTCCCGCCTTCGGGAACTTTGACTAACAGTTATGCGTTTGATTTCAAAGACTGGGTACGCTGTCTAGGCAGCTCGCCGTGGCAGGCAAAGCCCGGACTTGTGAACTTCGCCCCATATCGTTTCCATTGGGAGAGCATTGCCTTCTGCTCCTTGATACCCCTACCTCTCAACGGTCTGTCAATACCGTTGACTGACATGATCATCGCAGCCAAATTCCGTGTAATCTGTCCATAGCTGTCAATGGCTATACCATCAGAGGTGTCCGAGGTGTATCATACCATTCATCATACTATTCATTCCAAGCTACATATGGAGGAATCCCCCATTCGCGATCTACCTAACCTTTCGTGTATCTAGACTTCAGACCTCCGTACCATGAATTGTGCGACATATGTTCTGTGGGTCTACTGCTGAATGAACGCATGGATAATCGTGTCAAAGATCATGTCTCCGAAGTTGATGTTGAACTGCGCCGTCTTCTCGCGCGCGGTCGCAAACACCTGCTTCATGAGAGATGCATCACGTATCTACCGCAGGAATCCTTGGCATAAGTATAGCTTCAACACACATCAAGAAAAGATTAGAGTGACTCACCCGGAACTCGTCAAATGTGATGTCCGCTCGCGGGACGAACAAGTCCACCGTGCGCATCGGGAGGTCCAAGACACGAAACAGATCAAGCGGGAACTGCGCAATTGACGTGAACACCTGTCTAATGCCCCGAGTCACATCAGCCCTTCGAGCACATCTCAACGTAAGAGGTGTGAAACTCACGACCACCACGGCGTCCACTCTCTCTGATACGGCCAGTGCACGCGCACCCATCGTCCCTCCTTGGCGATCATAACAAAGCTCCCGCGATCGGTGTCCCAGTCGCGCCGAAGCTGCGCGTCGACGGCGCCGAACGTATATAGTCGGCCCTCGCCGTTGTCGATGTGCAGCCGTTGCGTAGATGCGGTCACGCGCAACTCGTCCGTGTCGGCGTTGAGGAATGGAGGTGGACGATCAGAGTGGTTGGCTTGGTCGAGGCCGTTGGCGATGCCATCAGACTCGCGTTCATCTGAGGAGCTGTCTGAACTGTCGTGACCATCATCGGACTCGGATTCAGATCCGTCCTTGCTCGGACTTCCCATAGGACTCTTCCTGTGCTTCTCCGCCTTTTTGGATGTCAACGGATCCGAGACCCCCGCAAAGCGAACAGTCGTCTTAAAATCGTCGCAGCGAAAGATTTGCCCCTTGAGGATCGCGCCTATGAGGTTCTCCCGCAATCGCCGGATCCAGTAGGGCGTAGCGCTGCTCCGATACACACGCACGCAGAACCCGTCGAGGACGACACTGATCCATGGCCCAGCAGTACGCTTGAACAGGTACGGGAAGACCCAAAAGGTCACGTCGAGCGAGACGACGGAAACATCACACGTTGTAGATCGGTAGACGATGTCGTACGCCGTGAAGGTAAGCCACCTCTGGTTGGAAGGCTTCGGGACGTGGTAACGGATGGAAATGGAGGGTGCGGAAAACGTGTAGGTGTAATCCCGCCCATAGAGCGCGCCGGAGTAGCGGACATCGTAGAGCGTTAGCTCACCGGGTGCGATCCTCCCAATTTTCAGCTCATGCCCGGAGAAAGGCCTATCCAGGAGGTAGGAGAAGAGGATGAGATTGACTGTCCAGACGACCTGACCGGTGAACCTGAAAAAATTCAACCAACGAGCGGCGCGTCCGTCGACAAACATGTCGGCACTTGACCTCGATCACTGTTGTGTTGCGCTCGTTCGAAAGACGCGAGTGAGCTCCGCGAATTTCAAGAGATTGAGATAATGCGGTTCAACACTAATCAATTGAGTAAATTAAGAAGATAAACGACTGGCAGGATGCATGGTAGGACTGCGCCTCGTGGCGCAGTACTAGTTGTAGGCCATGCATGGTGGAGGCTCCAGTGCGAATTCGAGACGTCATACCCAGTAGTCACATCCAGGTCACATCCAGTACCGGACGTCACGTCACACCGCGTTCAACCACGAACGTCATTCACGACCATGTCCACCGACGAAACTCGCTCGCCACCACAGCCTGGTCCTCTTCTGTCCGATATAGCTGTCTTGAGATCTTTCATCGAGCAAGACGAGCAAGAAGGCGCCGATCCTGACATCGCAGAGCTCCTTAGACACCTGGAGACTGCGGAAGGTATCGCGGCAGGCGTGGAGAGTCAGGTGGATGAGATCATAGGCAACCTGGACGAGATACTGGGCACGCTGGAGGCGCATGAGCAGGCGACGATTTCCAATCGCGAGAGTACCATCATACGGCGAGGCGACACGGTCGTGCAGGAAGAACAGGCTACTGTCGTGGTCACAGAGAGCGTGGAAGTCCAGGACGGCAGCAATGAGCAGAAGGCAGACTAATATGACCCAGGGCTCACTCAGTCATCGTCCATAGGGCAGGTTTCGTGCACTTTGCTCGGTTTGTACAGTCCTCGGCGCATCGATTCAAGTTGCATTCGAGGTGCTCACTCAGGGTAATTCTAGAGTCAATTGCGCATCCTTTGACAATGTCCCTTGCGCTGTGGCTGCTGTCCAGCTTCTCTCGAATCTCCCTGAGCCAGAGGAGCAAACAATCCACATCGCGTCAAGACCGACAGTTGTTCCACGCATACTCCAGTGCCTGTCGTCCTCAGCAGTATGATAGAAAAGAGCGCAGGCAGACGTCGCATGCGAGAGGTAATAATAAAAGTAGGATGATTTTATTGTGCTTTTAAAACATGGAATTGTTACATAAATGTATCTTCGCTTTGATTGAGGCGGAATGGCCGAGCGGTCTAAGGCGCTAGAATCAGGTCACGTGAATCTAGTCCGAACAGGGCGTGGGTTCGAATCCCACTTCCGTCATTTATTTATTTGCTTTTGATTCAATGTTAGTTTTGACCCGAGACATTTGAGACTATTTCTTGCCCTAAGTGAATCTTTGCAAATCTAGTTCAATGTTCTGATTTTTGGATGCATGAAAGATGAATTGCAGTGTGCAAAGTTATGTCACATGAATTTGGGGGACAAGCACTAGTCCCATGCATCTATATTCTAGGTGGGCTTTTGATTGCCTCAGTTGACAGGAGTGAGAGGTGTCCTTGAAATACTTTCAAGGACACCTCTCACTCCTGTCAACTGAGGCAATGAACCCCCAAAGCTCTGCGAAAGTAAAATACTGTGACATCAAGACAAAATGAACATTTGGCTCAAAATGTTTCATAGTATGACCATCGCAGGACTCAACAGTCGGCAATTGAACAAAAGATATGATTTCACTGAGACAAAGCAATAGAAATACATGTGCATCGAGGTCGTAGTAAAAAATCATCATACATCTCATGCATCCACTTCGCTCTTCTCCTTTTCCTCGCGGACCTCCGTCGTCTGCATCTCCACCTTGTCGTGGAGGTGCTTCTCGGACGGGCGCCAGCCGCTCGACTTCCAGGGGAGCACCTTGGCACGGTACATCTCGTCGACCTCCTCGAGCGAGAGGCCCTTTGTTTCTGGAATGAAGAGGCACACGTAGCAGAAGCCGAAAGCGAGCATGCCCGCGAAGACGAGCAGGATGAGCGGGCCGATGTCGTCGGCGATGCGTGGCGAGAAGAGGGAGAGAAGGAAGTTCCATACCCAGTCTGCGTTGTCATAATGTTTGGTCAACGCGTGAATACGGGGAAGGTCGATGATGCCCACTCACTCGTCGCGCTACCGAGGGCGATGCACTTTGGCCTGACACGGAGAGGAAACGACTCGCCGAGGTACACCCATGGCGTCGGGCCCCAGAATATGGAGTATGCGAAGACGTGCAGCACAGCGAAGGCGATGAGGACGTTCCCGCCGGTCTTGTTGCGCGCGGTGAGTTCGCTTTGCGGTGTCCCGGATGGGGCGAGCATGAAATGGCCGGCGAGGCCTGCTATCAGGGCGCAACACGCTTCGAAGGCGGCGCCGGTCATAAGCGACTGGTGCAGCAAATATCAGCACCGGAGTTTGTGTGCGGGAAATAAGCGGACGCACCCTGCGACGGCCCAGGGTATCAATCAGATACAGGGCGGGGAGGGTACCTGCTACCGAGACTGCTCCAAGTATGACTTGAATGACATAGGACGACAGGTCCGTGCCCGCGCTTTTGAAGAACGTATCGCCATAATAGTCTGTTAAATCAAATCACAGCATGTGAGCATTGTTCCAAGCATTCGAAAATGTATGATAGTGTTCACAGTAGAAGTTCTGGCCGTTCAATTGCTGAATGAACTGAAGCATCATGCCGTTGACAGTGCGCTTCCAGAGCATATTGCGGGTCGAGAAGCACTCCAGCCACGTCGCCTTTCCGCCATCGTTCTCAGCATGGATACCATATTCGAGTTCATCAATGATCTCCACGACCGCCTGATCATCCACAGGCACACTGTTGAGTTCTGCAATAACCTGGCGTGCTTCATCTTCTCGTCCTGTACCCAATAGATGACGTCTACGTAAACAGATTGTTCAGAATTCGATGGAATGCAGGTGTTATGATGTACTCACGGCGATTCCGGCAAAAAGAAAATTCCGGAAAGCAGGATCAAGCCCCAGAGCATCTGCAAACCGACTGGAATGCGCCATTCTGCAGAACCCTTCAGGTGGTGCGTGCCAAGGTCAACCAAGTAGCTAAAGAATATCCCCATGATGATCTGCACTTGGTACAGCACGATGAGCATGCCACGCAGTGCCTTCGGTGCCGTCTCTCCATTGTACAGAGGTACAATAGCTATCATTGTAGGCCAGGTCAGCGTCGCATGAAGAGATGTCACGAGGAACAATTATAACCACGGACCGGAAAGAGCTCCCACACCCAGACCCGCGACGAATCTTCCCACTACCAGCTGTGCGATGGAATGGACCGTACTCGTCTGAATGACAGTTCCGATAGTGAAGATGAACGACCACATCAATATCGAGCCTCGCCGGCCGAAGCGATCTGACGTGAATGCCTGCCCGAGCGAGCCGACAATAGTTCTGCAACGTCGATGATAAATATAGTAAGGTCAAACGGTGATAATTCATTGCTCACCCAGCAGAGAGCAGAGACGTAATGATGGACTGGCGCGAGCTCGACAACGTGTACGAACCATCAGAGTTCTGCTGACCGAAGCGCTCGACGAAATCGTCCATGATGAGACATCCCTACAGCCATTCGATCGGAAACGTTCCAATAGCAAGCATGTGAGCCGACGCACTGAAATGACACCAATGTCATATCCAAAGAGAAACCCGCCTGTCCCAAACAATGAGCATATTCTCAGCAGATGCGCCGCGTGAGCTTACCGAAAGCAATGAAGATGGCAAGCAAGATTGCTCTGCGATTCGAAGGGATAGCCATGGGGCTACCACCAGATACTACTACAGAGTATGACGCGGAAGGAGGGTCGAGTGAACGACTCAGGTCCACATTAGCTTCTCCGCTATACTTCTCTATTTATCATGCGGGTGCATTGTTCAAACTCCACACGGCTCCGGTGATGGTATACTATGCTTCTGCGGGTGGAATGCTCAAGAGCGGCCCGGACTTGGACGGACATGCGGTCTGTGCGGAATGCGCCTCGTTTCAGCGCTGATTGGATTCTGGCGTGAGATCTCGCCGATAGCACTGATGTGGGGCCCCAGGGCCGTTGCGGGGAGTGGCAAAACAGTTCACCCAATGCCGTCAAGACTGTCATGAGACCGGAGGTTGTCTGATCGCAGCATCGTCGCAAGACCTGCTGATTCTGGCATGAAGGAATGCGATTGAAAGAGACTCGATATCGAGGGCAAAGGCTCGCGAGGAACTGGCATCCGAGCACATTGAATCAATAGACGCTCCACGATCACGTGGAATATGTTAGCGGGTGGGCGCGCGTCAGGCTCGGAGCCAAGGGAGATGTCACCAGCTTGTAACACGGCAAAAAATTATTATGCCGCAGCGTCGGAGATGGGTGACGGTAGCAGCATCTTATTCTGCGCGTGCACCCCCTCGTAAAATTTCTCTCGCGGACGTAAATCTCCACTTGTAGTATGATGATGTGACGGAAGCTCACGTACCGACACCGCGAATGATGAGCCGCGAAAAGGGACCGACGAGGAGCCCATCATGCAAATGCTCTAGATTGTTGCCCAAATTCTCTTGTCAGAATCTATATCCGAAGAAATTGTGAACAGTACCTGCTGCAGCCTGCGACCAGGTGTAGTGTCGTAAAAGGCATCTGCCTAGTGTGTCGACGGCGATCCCAAGCTTTCGTAAATATCGTCGCTGCTGCCATGAGCGGAGCCGATGTGCGGCTAAGCTCGGGCTGGTCGTGGCCAGAGTCTGCACATGATGATGGGGGCGTTCATCAAATCACGGCTCCATATGAATGCAGCACATTCACTTGGTACGTAACATTGCCAACACCTTAAGATAGAACAGAATCTGTTGAAGACGTCAATTCGCAGCTGTTGCCGGCCCATCTACCTTCCAGCCTTGCCCAGGTGCACACCATGTGCCAAGGATCAGCGCTCGGACTTGAAGATATATCGAGCAATCACACCGAAAACTTTGCGCCCTCAGAAGAATTCGCTTTTCGTCAAGGTCATCAACTAATATACACGCCGGATAATACCATTCACAATCTGCTCAGTCCAGCTCATCAAGCAAGGAACGTGAGCTCTTGATGCTGTTGTATGCGTTCTTCCCCGCCTCGTATGCGTCGTATCCGTCCTTTCCAATGGTGTAGACATCCTTCGCTGCATCCCAGAGGCCGCTCAAGGAGATGGCGTCGGACTCGGCCTCCCTGGCGAGGAGCTCGAGCAGCTCCCTGTCAACTAACATGAGACATCGGTGTTGTTACTGCGAAAGACAAGACGTACCGCCTCGAATTGCCCTTGATGCTGTTGTACGCATTCTTGCCCGCCTCATAAGCATCGTAACCATCCTTGCCAATGGTGTAGACGTCCTTAGCGGCATCCCAGGCCCCACTGAGCGAGATCGCTTCGCTATTCGCGCGAGCGGTGTGAGCCTCGGGACGAGCCGCGCTCGCAGAGTAGGAGTGAGTCGGTCGCTGCGAGTAAGAACCGTAGCGGTGTCCACCCTCCCTCATGCCCTTAGCGAAGCGGTGAGGCCGGCCCTCGCCCATGCGGTAGCCACCAGCCTGCATCTCCCTGCAAAGTATGCCACAGTCAGCAAACATTGTGTAGGGGTGTTTCTGACGCTCTTACCTCCTGGAGTTGCCCTTGATGCTGTTGTAGGCATTCTTGCCGGCCTCGTATGCATCGTACCCATCCTTGCCAATGGTATAGACGTCCTTGGCCGCATCCCACAAGCCGCTGAGCGAGATCGCCTCACTCTGGTCCTCACGAGCAGAATGACTATAGCGCTCGCGGCCGCTGGCCTCCTCCGCGCCGTGGAAATGGTGGTGATCACCTGTGGCGAGACGTTGCTGATCATGGAAGCGGTGGCGCTCGCTCTCCTTCGCGAAACGGTGCTCATCGTGGAAGCGGTGGCGCTCGCCTTCTTGGGAGAAGCGGTGTTCGCTGTGGTGGCCTTCGTGACCCTCAAGGCGTTCGCCGTACCACTCAGCCCTATAAGAGAAGTCAGCATAAGAGCAATTATGTGAGACAAACAAATGACACTGACCGTCTGGCAACTTTGCTGGTGGTACTGCTAGACTGTGTTCCGTTCACGGATTGCTCGGGCTTGTGCTCACCGTGGAAGCGGTGGTGCTCGCCTTCCGTTTGCTCATGCGAGAAGCGGTGCTGGTCATGCTGGCGACCGTTGCTCTCGAGGTGCTGACCGGATTGCTCATCGCTACGCGCGGTGCGACCTTGTGAGGAGCGGTGCTGGTCATGCTGGCGACCATCGCTTTCGGAGTGCTGGCCGTATTGCTTAGCACCTCCGGCGGCGTGGCCTTGCGAGAAGCGGTGCTGGTCATGCTGGCGGCCATCGCTCTGGGAGTGCTGGCCGTATTGCTCAGCGCTACGGGCGGCGTGACCCTGCGAGTACTGCTTGGGATAGTGGTGCTCCTGTTCGGCGCCCTTGTATTGCTTTATGCCATGTTGGCGGCCTTCACCATGCGGGCGAGCGAGCGCCTCATGCTGCATCCCGCCGTTGGTGCGATGGAGACCATGGTGGCTTTCATGCGACACGTCAGGTCGTTGACCGCCATGTGTGTTGGCGATCTGTCGAACATCGAGGAAGCCAATCTGGGGCGTCGGAAGAGCACTGCAAATATAAGTCAGATCAACTGACAGGCAACGCAAACAAGAGGGGGTACGCACGAGACCAGCGCGGGGGCAACAACGGCAGCAGCGATAACGAGGACGGTAGAAGAACGCATCGTGATGATCGTAAAGTGGTATTAGTAATAGAAGGGAGTCGTGAGTTGAAAGATTAGTTGACGAAGATGTAGTCGTAACGAAGAAGCGTGTAAAAATGAACGAAACAAGTCAAGCTGCAGAGACAGAAGACGGTGAGATAATGCGCAACAGTCCGTAGGAAATGTATCCACTTACTATCCAGTACCTGAACTTGAGAAGCTTGGCTCGTCAGATCAACTGAGGGCTGAGGAAACGAGACAGCACGGCCGCGCCTTTTATCCTCCTCGACCACGGCGCCCATCCACTTGCTTGGGCTGTGCCGTAGGGGGACCCGGGCGCCCATGGCTATACAGCGTGCAGCGAGACGACTAGTGAGCAACTGCTAGGCACTCCCATACAGTGCGCATGGCAGCCATTGCCGTAGGCATCATTGCGCGCGCGCGTTGCCATCATACACATACCTCCGGAGATCAACGGGGCGCTTCCAAAGTGAAACGTCCGTGCTTAATCAACGTTTGATGCCATCTTGAGATATTGTTGATGGCGGGTCCGGCATCGGCATAAGCACCGTATGAGGGGGTTTCATCTGAACCCTGGTTAGCGAGCACGGAGCACTGGTGTGAGTGCATCTGCGGAGTGCGTCTCCTTGAGCCAACAGTCTGCCCCTTCGATGCTCGCCAACTCAACCTGAACAGCGAAACTGTAGATCCACCAAATCAAGGCTGGGGGTTTCAGAATATTGATGGAATCCAAAGGCGATTTCGACATGATCAATGGAGCCTGCATGATCGGCATACAGCAAAGTTCCGAGAGCATGAATGTTTCCGGCCAAGCACACTCCAGTCAGGAATGAAACGGGCCTGAAAACGTTGTCTTCTGATCTAGCTTGCAACGCCGGAAAAGGTGACGCTTGCGTAAGATGCACATCGTGTTGGACCATATGCGTTGGTCCCTCGATGCTTCTCATAAGCTTCCTCTTGACATAAGTGATATCCAAAATGTGGAAGGGGGAGCTGACGCTCTTCATCGCCAAGTGAATCCACCGAAGTCGAACAGTTCGTTGGAGGGCAGTGTAATCTGTACAATCAGCCGAACGATGCTGCCATCAAAATCGACATCATTTACAGATCAGAGAGCAGAACACCATGCCAAGAGCAGTTTCTGCAGCGCCATCCCGAGGCATCGTAACGACAGTGGATTGTTTGCGATGAACGACTCAACGATCAAGTCGCTACATCAGCCTAGCCCATGGCTGAACTTTTTGCAACACGCGATCGCATATCATTTCTGCTGCGCAAACAGCGTTTCGAGAGAGAGCACTTGTACAAGTGGCGTTTACTCCGAAGCAGTGTTTGATGGCTGGCATGAAACGTGATCGTCCGCAGGAGACCGTGCTGCTGAGACGATGTGGCATAATCGAAACAGCATGTTCCAAGAGAATTGTCAGAACGACTGGGAGGTATAAGAATCGTCAAGGGACTACTGCGTTCTCGGTGTGAACGCTGCGCGTACCACCACTTTCTTCGTCCGGCTGCTTTTTTCGTCACTTCAACTTCACGAGGTCTTTTGAACCACTGTATTTACTGTGATCATGATTACCAACGTCTTCGCTTTCGCTGTCTTGTTGCTTGCTTCCGTGAACGAATCTCGTGCGGTGGTTTACAGACGCCAGCACGACTTCGCACATGGTGAGTCCGACAGAAGCTATACGCGGGCAGTGCATTGAACATTTTCAAACAGACAATCATGGTTTGATGGAGGGTGGTGTCCCGACTCCAGTTGCACATGGCCAGCACTACGTGCTTACTCGCCCAACGCCGGCACCAATGCGCAGACGACAGGACTGTAAGTGTCTGCGACGCACCCCAAAGACAATCGCTGATCTTGGCTTGCAGCTGACGGCGACTCGAGCGGTATTCTCTCGCAGTTGGGCGGGTCAAGTGGTGTCACTGAACTAGTTGACGAGATTCTTTCTGCCTTGCCTCCTAGTCGTAAGTCACCACGCTCATCCTGTAAGTGTTAAAACTTACATACATCTCTCCCAGTCGCCACCCCGGCATCTGCACTCTTCGCTGAGATCACAGCGTCGCCGATGTCACCGAGCAGCTCCAGCTCGCAGACGGGCTCTGGGTCCGGAGGTGGCTTTGAATCTCAGACGAGTGATGGCTCCCAGGATGGCTCGAGCTCAGGGACGGGCTTTGGCTCCCATGATGGCTCCGGCTCGCAGTCAGGCTATGGCTCGCAGTCAGGATTTGGCTCCCAGTCCGGCTTCGGCTCGCAGACGGGTTCAAGTTCTCAGTCAGGCACTAGCTCACAGTCAGACCCTGGCTCATCCGATGACGGCTCGTCCATTCCAAGCAGCGTCGGTGCCAGCGTGTGGTTCGGCAGCCCGTCACAGACGGCCTCCGCTGTCTTCCCTTCCACGACGGCACTGGGTTTCAATGAAACAGGTGCAAACGCAACCTCCGTCTCGGGCATGAACTCGACCTCGAGCGGGAACACAACAGTCATCCCGAGCGATAACTCAGCATCTTCTGGGGCGAACGTGACGGCGTCTGCGAGCGGGAATGCGACTGAAACCAGCGATGCGTTCTCTGCTCTTGGGGCCAGCGCTACGCCGAGCATTGACGCGTCCGCATTCTCGAGCATTGCTGCGACGCCCACGTCGAGTGCGAATGCGTCTCTTCCGACTGACGCCAACGCCACTGCGATCGTTTCATCTGCTGCTACTGGTGCTGCTTCGACCACGAGTGAGTGATAACCTTATTCAATAACTGCACTCAATGCTGACCTGGTCGATATTCCAGTGTCTGGCGACTTCTTGACCCAGTTGATCCAGGAGCTCGAGGGTGCCGGCGAAGACGTCTCAGATATCGTAATGTCCCTGATGGGCATACTCCCCTCTTCAGGTGCGTCCGTTTGTTTCGGAAAATGATACGATCTTCGTCTCATCGTTGTCACAGTCCAGAGTCCCGCTTCCTCGATGTGGGTGCAGGCCACGTCAGTGGTCGGGGCTGACTTCAGCCAGATTACTCAGGCTGTCGGCCAAGGTGCGAGCAGCCCAAGCAGACGAGACAGGATGATCCGCCGTTCCCGCAAGTGAGATGGGATGCGGGCCATTTCCCAAGTTTGTCGTCTACTGCGTTCGGTATTCAACGCCGATGAGCAACTGGCACGGGAACACGCCTCTTCAGATGATTCACCGTGCCTTAGCGGCACACTATTGGGCAAAACAAGATAACGACATACCTTCGCTGCTGCGCTGCGACGCACGACTTCATGATTACTATCCTACAATATTACATTCCTTGATGTTTGTACCTTAGTTTTTGGCGAATAGAAGCAGCTATGACGTCCATGCTTGAAGGAGCAATCCTCGACGTTGCTCGTACTTGACAGGTTGCAATTGCTCTGTAGTCACAGTTTTCGCAACTGTAAGAAAGAGATCGCGCGGCACAGGAGACCAGAAGCCGTTCACGATGAGAAATCAACTCAAATGACGCGCAGCGGAGCCGATAGGTGTCGCATATGAGCTGAATGTAGCGGTCAGCGGGACGAACAAGAGGTGAGCGGGAACTCGAGAAGGCGCCCGTGCTGTCTGGCGCTAGTACACGCTCGTCCCTCATGAGCATGAAGACCTCTAAGGACGACCGAACTCAAGTCTGCCACCTCGAAGTCAACTGAATACCCAAGACTTGCAAACATTATAGCCGGTCTCTGCTCGAGAATATAGCAGAGCATTGACCGCGGTGCTTCGACTCTTCGTCAGATCACTTTATCATGGCGGACGTACAGTCGTCGAGCTTGCCACCTGCAGCTACCAGTCTCGCTGATATACCCACTCTTTCTGAACTGCTAGCCTCGTCTTCTACCGATGCATCTTCATCCTCGACCTTGGCATCGCGTGATGCAGCGAGCTACCTCGCGGAACTCACCTCTCTTCCTCTCGCCGAATTGGAAGCTCAGCCGACCGAATTGTCATCATCGTCGGCACAGCTCACGAACGCCCTTACCACGCTCTGCTACACGTCATATCCGACCTTTCTATTGATTCATGCAACGACCTCCACGTTTACGTCCTCTCTGTCATCGCTATCCTCGTCCTTGGATGCTCTCATCTCGTCCCTTCCAGCCCTCGAGAATTCTGCGCGTTCCTTTGCCGAAGACACGCGCGAAATTCAGAAGGAGCGTCGCAAAGCCGCACTCGTCCTCGAGCACCATGACAAGCTCTATGACGTGCTGTCCCTTCCCCTCCTGCTCGATTCCTGTGTCAGGAACCACAACTATACCGATGCCCTCCTCCTTGCAAACCACTCCAATTCCCTCTCCCAGCGCTTTCCCTCCAACCCGCTCGTGCAGTCCGTCAAGGCCGAATGTGACGCGCGTGTGCAGGCGATGCTCGGCCAGCTCCTGCGCATGCTCAGCGAGCAGGCCAAGCTCCCCGCGCTCTTCCGCGCGGCTGGCTTCCTCCGCAAGATGGGCGTGCTCACAGAACCTGAACTCGCGCTTGCGTTCCTAACCGGCCGCGGCACATACCTTGAGAGCCTCTTCAAGACCATCGACATCGAGAAGAAGGCGATTGAAGGCGACAGGGATCGCGAGATGGAGGCATATGCGAGGTACCTGAAGAAGTACGTGGACCTGTGGCGAGAGGGCGTGTACGATGTCATCACACAGTACACAACCATCTTCCTGGATCGGGCACCCTCAATATCGCCAGACGTCCAGTCACGATTGCGCATGCTCTTGACGACGTTTACGACGCTCCGGTTGCAGAACTTGCTGTCTCTTCTCCGAGACACACTTCCGTATATCCCTGATCCGTCCTTACTCACATCGCTGCTTACACAGTTGACTTACTGTGCCAACTCTTTCGCACGTGTGGGGATGGATTTCAGGGCGCTGCTCGCGCCGATCTTCGTTGACGCGGTGCGGAGTGGTGTCAAAAAGGAATTTGAGGAGGCCACCAAAGGCTGGTCTGAGAGGTTGAGATCGTGCACAGAGAGCGGCACGAATGGGTTTAAAGCCAACTTAACAACGTCTTCTCAGATTCTCGTAGCCTCGACCTCACTTGCCTCTCCCCCGCTTCCCACGAAGGCGCAATTGAATACGATCACGTCTGGCCCACCAAATGTTCCTCCGCCCATACTTGTCTCATATCCTCCTCTAGCAATCTATACAAACGCATTCCTTACAGCTCTCAACGGTCTCCGTATGCTCGCTCCCGTAGAACTGCTTGACGACCTTTTGGGGACGCTAGAGCGCTCTCTCGCGGAAGGGCTCACAAAGGTGCTTGCGCTTGCACGAGACAAGCTGTCGGCGGCAGAACAACATCCAAAGGGCGGTGAGGAAGAGGAAAGGAAGGATTTGGAAGTGGTGAGGGCAGCAGGGATGGTCTATGTGGAGGTGTTCGTGCCGTTCTTGAGGCGGGCTCTGGTGGAGGGTGTGTATGGCGTTGTGATGAAAGACAAGGAGATTCCGATGGGAAAGGAGCTGCGGGATACTTTGGAAGAATGGAAGGAGTGGGTCGGTGAGAAGGAGGAGGAAGCAGCAGATCGTGTGGAAGGGACAGATGGAGTGAACGGCAATGACGACGGCAAATCATAAAGCTCGTCTGTATCAATTGGCGCGTGCTCGATGTCATCCAACTTCGAATTGTGAGTCTCGGCTGCATATATGCGCCGTTTATTCATGCTAAAAGAAAATCCAGTGTAGCGATCGCTGCCTAGCAAGGCTCTGCCTTTGAAACCAATGCATTATCTGAGGCGCTATTACCGAAATCCGCTGCCCTCTTGATGGCCCAGCTGAGCTCAGTGCGATGCTCGCTCAGGAAGGAGCCCTGCAGGGTCATACTCGCTGGAGCTGTGGGGGTTCAATGATCCTATGGCTGAATCGGCAGCTCTGCAGTTGCCGATAAGCGTACGATCCTGCGTCGTGCTCGCACATCCCATTTGCGATGGTCTTGCAGATCGTCCGAGTCGCTGTTTCTGGGTCAGGAGGGCGCATGGCTGATATGCTGGGCTGGTCGATATTAGGAGCGACTGCAGAGACGTTGATGTCTATCAGATGCAAGAAGTGCATGGGCGTCCCGTATTTAAATTTACGTGGCTCAGAAATAATGTAATGCATCATCAAAGGGAGAACATTGCTGAGGGCGTACTAGCGCGAACAGCAGAATATGGCGGCGGACTTTCGCTGGCACTTGAGGAGGCTGGGTAGGAAGGTGAGTATGAGACGACATCCTCCGGGCGCCGAAAACATACGATGCTTCTCAAAGCAGGGGCATCATGCCTCACCATCTTCGACTCAATCTTCTGCAATGCCCTGCCCAGGCTCCAGTCCGCAGCAAATAAGGGACCGATAGCATCGCATCGCGGGAGCGCTGAAAGGGCCTGTGTTGTCCTGATGAACTCTAACCTTCGAGACGGTCTTCCAGGAGTCGTGATTGATATATCTCATTGAATCGTAGACGATGGCATCCCTATGATGTGCATCAGCGACGCGCTTTATGTGCACCGTCTCGATAAGAGAATGATCATTCGGACAGCGGCTGCCGTTAAGGCACAGCCCGTCCCTATTGTTCCTACAGAGTTCGATACATGTCCCCCTGTCAATTCAATGTCATCAGTGTCGATATGTATAATGTTCAAAGCCGGAGATTAAAGATATACCCTTCTGGCCATCCGCGGAGAGTTAGTCATACCAGCGGCAGCCACCTTGTCCTCAAGATTCTTGGTGGCGACATTGATAGGAAGTCCTCACCACGATGGTAACGGCAGCGGCGGCTTCATGGCTGCCGTTGGTGCGCTCTGTGAGCACGAGCCGCCAAGGACTGGAATTGCACGCGGGGACACCAAGGATGTCCCTTCCAGTGATGTATTCTAGCACAAGCTCGCGGCTGACTCGGGATGAATTTGCGACATCCACAAGAGCTTCCAATCGCGCGACAGCCATGATTGCGCGGCTATACCGTGATGCGCAGGGCTTGCAGTGGGTGGGCGTTCCTGCAGTGTCACCGCATCTCCCGTAATATGCAATATGTGGGCAGATCATGCGAGTAGCAATTTTTGAGTGCAGGGGAGCCAATGGAACGGCGCTCCGAGTACTTCGCGTGAGGGGTCCTCGGAATTTCCACCGCCGTCAGCAGAAGCATACACGCAGCATTGTTACTGAGCGGTTCAGACGGGTATGTTGCATGAGATCTTGTAAACGTACGAGCGTGAGTAAAGTCATTCCAGAACAAAATCTGCTCACATTCTGCCATGTGATGGCTCCCGAGGAGAGCGAAACTATGTGTACCTTTGGATTCAAGACATTGAGTAGCATCTGGTCAAGTAGGTACAGGCTGGCGCACGAAAACGGCATCGGTTTGGCCGCTTACCTCCATCACAGCGCGCGAGGTGCTCTGGACAGTGTTGGGGGCCCAATTGTGGGCTGTGGCCCTTCAGTACGGTTGCCCAGGAGGATCAGTGAAAACTCAATTCACGTCAAGTGTCATGTTCGATAAGAGTTCCATTCCAGTGTCAACCGTTGTACAGGTGTCGTTCTCATTGAGCCTATGACGTCGTCACGTCAACGCGTGCAGACGCTGCTCAACATGTTCATGTGATCTATGCGCCGACGTCGTGCACCGACGATGCGCGCGATGCCAAGACAATTACCGACATTCCTGAATTGCGTTGCCCCGCTGTGCCCCGATCTGCCGCTCCGGACGCCTCGCTGTAACCCGTTTCCCCCCATTGTGCCCATACAGGATTCTGACTGGGCTTGAGCCGGAGAAAAACTTGCGACTTGCGACTCGCAACTTGAGACCGGGAAATTAGATCTCATCGTTTTCGGCAAACGTACTGCAATTAACAGAATCAGATGTATCATATCGGATATGGTTGTTCTGTTTGAAGGCGAGACAGATGTTTTTTTTCCAGCAATCTCCAATATTCATCTTTCTTCCGTGAGCCCCCATCTGAACCTTACCCTCTGCGTCCAGGCGCACGGAGGTCAGAGCCCGCAATGGGGTTCTCCTGCCAGTGCTTGGATGATCGAGTGCCCGTGGCTGTTCAGAGATCGGAGCAGCGTGCTAGGAAGCTCCAGGACGGGGCCATCCTTTCGGTCGATGGCGGAAGGCCCATAACCTCGAGGGTGACGGCGCTTTTCATTACAAGTACAGGCGAAGAGCGATTGAGTGATAGGACAGGATGGCATGTGCAAGTTGAGCATAAATTGCCTGCTCGCCGGACACCTGTGTTATACGGGAAGCGGACACGGTCATGAAGAGCACAATTTTCTTTAGCATCGCGATTTTGGATGCCACAGCGAGCTCCTAAATTGATGTCGCACTGCTCTCACGACCTTTTCTTCCTTGGCTTCTACCTGCGAATAGAAGCGAGGGATTCCAATACGCACTCACGCGTGCATGATCATGATCAACCAGACGTGTCATATCTAATATGCCCATTCTGTTTGACAGATGGTCTTTTCTGCAATTTCCAATACCTGTGCTGTCCGTAAGCCCCCATCTGATCAAACCTTACCCTCTGCGTTCATGTCCGGTTAATCAAGCAGTATTCAACGATGAGTCGCGCACCGATGGGCATCCTCAAAGTCCCTCCGAGAACTGCTCTGTTTTGCATGGACCGTTGTCACCGACGTTGATACCTCTACAATGTCGAACGCATCAGCTGCAAGCATATTGGCTCAGGAAGAAGTGGGTCTCTTACAGGAAGTGTGAGGACGACGATACCTTCCGAGGCATTCAACTGACGAGTCTGCGATCACTGTCACAGATACGTCAGCAACTACTGCTATCTCGCAGCTGCTGGTACGTCTCCGGGTCGGACCATTCTAAGCGATCGAACTTGACTTACAGACTGCACATGTTCAGCCCTCACCTTCTATGAGTACATTGTGACTTTTCCTGAAGAGGTTCACGTCATCTGGGGAGCCAGGTTGACCACCGTCACGATCGTCTTTGCCCTCAACCGTTATCTGCTCATCGTACAAGGCGTTAGTAACGCACTGAATGTCATCTGGTGGCATACTCCACTGGTAGGTCATGTCATGTCGTGCTGCAAGTGAATCGAGCACTCACGATCTACGTGCACACAGAGGTGAGTGTCGACGACCACGCTGTATGTTCTGCGCAGTTAATACATTATCGCAGCTGTGAAGCTGAAATTCTTTTCGCCAACGTGACGAGTATTGTTCTTGAGGCTGTGACAGCGAGTCAGAGATTGTTTGACCTCAAATTTCAGAAAGACAACGATTGATAAATCGTTAGGCGTTTCCGCGTTCCGCACATACGCTATTACAGGACGCCAGATCATCCCTGCATTGCTAGTCTTGCTACTGGGGCTAGCGCCAGTCAGCACCAACGTCGTGAATATGTCATATATTCTCCGTGATCATATGTCTGTTGAGCACCTCTGGGCAGTTTATAGATGCAAGAACGTCATACGAGTTCGTCACTTACGTAGGCAGCTATCCAGTTTGTAACAATAACACACGCGCGTCCATCGCGGTACAGAACAGGTATGTGCCACGTCCACCTCTCCGACGTCGGCACTCCTAGGACTGACCCTTCTTTGCTTAGACGTGAGTTTGAAGAAGACCGATGAGTTGTTGCTCTGACGCGCACGATTCCTGTAGTTGTCCTCATCGCGCGCATCTGCCCGGCTGTATCCGACCTGATCGTGCTCCTTGTCACTTGGTTCAAGACATTCCGACTCGCCATGGAAGTGCGGAAGTTACGGTTTAGAGGATCGATCGCAACGGTGCTGATGAGAGACGGTGGGTATATATGGCTCTTGTACATGCAATGCCTCACAAGCAGCCAATTCAAGGCACGCTCTACTTCATGTACGTCAGGCTCTGTCACAGTGCCTTGTCATAACTCTGTCTTCCACTGTTCATCAGGGCCCTCTTGCTTCTCAATATCCTCGAGATCGTGATCGTACTCCGCTATGGGAATGCACAGGCAGGTCTACTCACAACTGCATAGCCGCTCTAAGGTAACGTGTAAGCAGAATTTCGGAAACTACGTCGCGATTTTCCTGCTACCGTAAGCGACCGATCATACCCAATGCAGCTCACTCCACGCTTACCGAGTCAATCAGAATCTCATCAATCCTGATATCACGCTTCATCCTCAACCTACGCCAGGTATCCCTCGACAGCGTGAGCTTGAATCACAGCACTCAGAACACGCCGGACATTCCCTCTCGCCTGGTTGGCAACTTTGGCGCGGAGCTCCAGCACACGTCTCTTGTTTTTGAAAATGTCGAGGATGAGGCTGAGGACGAGCAGGATATCAGTGTGGATTGTGAGGCCTACGAGTTGGCGCAGGTGCAGTAGTCATCGTACAAGCTATGCGATCGTTTTGAATAGTGCCGGCTCTGACTGTAACCCACGTTTACTCCTTGACATGATTTTCTGGTCGCGATTGACGAGATGCTACGCTGGAACGAAGCATACAAGGTTCATTATAGCATACACAGCAAGGCGGAGGTTCGTTAGGCCAAAAGCTGCATCCCGCCGCCGCAATGCTGAGTGTCGTCCGAGACATAGACAAAAGTCGTGAACTGGTAACAGCAGTCAATCCGTTGCACGTCCCAAATGAGTTTTACAGCATAGCAGATGTTTGGACCATTGCATGTAAAGCGTCAGAGTCTCACAAAACAGTGGAGACGCACCGGTGGCTGGAGATGCCATCAGTCACTGCGGAGTTTGAGAGATTCAAGCACAGCTCGGCAGCAGCCGCGAGCATGAAACTCTGCCATTGAGGGAAGGCAAGCCGACCAACGTAACAAAAACCTCTACAAGTCTGTATACCTTTGGCAGAGTGCTAACAGATTTCTCGAGCCATCCGGCCCGCAAACAGGCCCAGCATAATGAACATTATCACTTTGTCTATTAACAGAGTTAGTAGTTCAAATCCCCTCGTCCAAGGTATGTCAAGTATGCGTTCTACAGACTCCTACTAATTTTATTCCTTTTCCCCTCATGATGCGCGAGCAACGAGCGACCGGTCATCTCTGCAATCGAAGTCAGGCTCACAATCTACACTCGCATATTTTCAGGCACTCGCCTTCGGGCTTAGGCAATCCCTGAGTCATACAAAACGTTGTGAAAGAGCGAAGACATCCTAGTCATATTTGCACCCACCGTAATGTCAACCACCGGGCCGCCACGTAGCACAGCGCACCTTCCTTCTCCTCGCCGTCCTTCTTGTCGACAGTGTAATGGAATTTCTCGAGTCGCCGATCATGATGAACGGCACCAGGTTCGTCGTGTATACCGTATGCCGTGTGCGGCGCACCCATTTCGGGGTGGATCATCTGCTCCGTGTTCCCATGGTCTGCCGTGATGAGTAAGATATAGCTCGCCTCCTCACAGGCTTTGTGCACCGTCGCGACCACCTTGTCCGTCGTGGAGATGGCCTCCACGGCTACCTCGTACATGCCCGCGTAGCCAGCCATATCCGGCGATGCATAGTTGCACATCACGAACTCACATGTCGCCCTTGCGCATGACCTCCGCAACGTTGTTGGCGACGGCCTGGACGCTCATTTTGCGGTCCTTGTCGTGCGTTGCGACTTGGGCGAAGGGATTATATGCCTCTCATTAAGATACTGTTTCTCAACACTGCCGTTGAAGAAGAACATATGCATATACCTCGGTTTCTAGGCATAGTCAGAGATGTGCTAGCACAATAACACACAGTGCACATACCGGCTATGTGTACCTACTTCATGCCCTACTCGACGAGCCATTCAGCGAGGACATTCGTCATCGGTTGCGGAGGAAAAGCAACCGGGAAAGGGAACTCGGCGTGGTATTTGTGACATAGTGCTGATACGCTAGAAAGCAGCCACCAGAATGAGAGTCGTCACTCATATGCGAGAACATCTACATACCAGGCCTTTCGGCACATCGACCTCCGTGGGTTTATCGGGAAGGCCAAGCACGGTGACAATCCCCCGGATCCGGTCAGAGCGGCAGTTGAAGAAGAAGACTGTGTCGCCATCCTTGACGAGGGCCTTATCACGGTTCACAACGATAGGCTCCAAGAATTCGTCCGTCTCATCCTTCTTGTATCGTTCCATAATCGCTTTCATGACGTTTTGCCCTTCTCGCCCACACCTTTCATGAGGACATCCACGGCGATGCTCGCAACACTTGTCGCGGTCCATTGCGTAGCAGCGGCCCACGATGGTCCTGATCTGGCCATACTTCTTCTTCTCAGTGATCGCGGGGGACCTTTGACATATCCTGCAGCCGAGCGGGGCGCGGTGATACTCCCATCGCCGAAGAAGTGGATGTAAACGTGGGGCATGACGACCTCTTTCGCGACCTGGAGTAGCGCGTACAGGTGGTTAATGTGCGAGTTCACGCCACCGTCCGAGACCTATTGTATCAGAGCACCACATACATCAGAGCATTGCACAGTCAGCCGCCCTAGCAGAAACGAAAATCCATGCGACACGTACTAGAGACCCCGTAGGTGCAGACAGCCGTTCCCTTTCGTTGCAGGCTTGCAGCTACCCACAATGGCCTCGTTCTTGTGGAACTGGCACTTCTTGATCCACACATCGATCCTCACGATATCTTGCCAGAAGACTTGCCCAGCGCGGATGTTCATGTGCCTGAGCATTCGCTCATTCAATGCGCCGTCATGAAGGCACGAGAGTGCACATACCCGACCTCTGAGTTGCCCATAACCCGCTACCGAGACCCATGGCGATGCCGTGGGCATGCAGTGTGCACACACTATGCTCCTTCGAGATCGTATCCATGTTCGTCGTGGCCCCTGCCATGATAGCGTCACGCATCGTGTTGGTCTCCAGGGCAGTGCCCCAGCCATCGCTTCGTCGCTTCTGAATGCCTCACGTCTGCCTCAGTAACCCCGCTTCGGCATCATGATCTCAGTGCTCTTCCAAACCTTGCTCCGCTTCGGCCCACCCATCCGGCTCTCACGCTTGGATTTGAGAGTGCCCGCGATGTCGAGCGAGATTGGAGCGGCGGGTTAGGAAGCTTCAGGACGGGGGCCATCCTTTAGATCTGAAGCAGAAGGCCTGCAAGTTCGAGAGTGATGGTGCCCCTCATTGTAAGTACAGGTGAAGAGCGACAGGCCTGGCATATGCAAGGCGAAGGGGATCTTGCTTCCATCTTCTGTGCCCGAACCACTCATCACGATATTTCGTTCATCGGGTTTCTGACTCCTGTTCTATGATGAAACGATTACAAAATTAGGAACGAGATCGTAGAAGTCACCAATTCCAAGATGTAGAAAAATGTGGATACTCACTTTGTGTTGCATCTATCAGACAGGCCCCGAACGACATGGCTAGAACTGATGGTTGAGAAGAAAGATCTGGGCAAATATCATGGAAAGTGGGTCCGCGATCACTATAAACACAAAATTCTACAGTAGCGTGGTTTTAGCGGCGTTGGATGCCACGGCGAGCTGCTGAATTGCTACCGCGCTGCTCTCACGACTTCTTCCTTAGCTTCTCTCCATGACTGAAAGCGAGGGAAATGTACTCACGCACGCAGGATGAACCAGATGTATCATATCTGATACGGCTGTTCTGTTTGAAGGCGAGACAGATGGTCTTTTCGGCAATATCTAATACCTATACTATCCGTAAGCCTTCGTCTGAACCTTACCCTCTGCATTCATGTCCGGTCAATCAGGCAACGTATAACGATGCATATGCAATTGAGCATGAATTGTCTGTTCGCCGAAACCTGTGTTGTACGGGAAGTCGGCACGTCATCAAGAGCACAACTTTCCATAGCACCGCGATTTTGGATGCCACGGCGAGCTCCTGGGTTGCTCTCACACTGTTCTCACGACTTCTTCTTCCTTAGCTTCTATCTGCGAATGAAAGCGAGGGATTCCCAAATGTACTCCCGCGCGCATGATGAACCAGAGGTATCATATCTGATACAGCTGTTCTGTTTGAAGGAGGCACAGATGGTCTTTTCGGCAATGTCCAATACCTGTGCTATCCGTAAGCCCCCATCTGAACTTTACTCTTTGTGTTTCATGTCCGGTCAACCAGACATTGTATAAAGATGAGTCGCGCACCGATGGGCATCCTTAAAGCCCCTCCGAAAACTGTTTTCTTTTGCACTGACCATTGTCACCGACATTGACACCTCTACAATGTCGAACGTGTCGGCTGCAAGCATATTGGCTCAGGAAGAAGTGGACTTATTACAGGCAGAGTGAGCACGACGATACTTTCCGAGGCGTTCAACCGACAAGTCTGCGATCACTGTCACAGATACATTTATAACTACTGCTATCTTGCAACTACTGGTACGCCTCGGTCGGACCATTCTAAGCGATTGAACTCGACTTAAAGACTGGACATGTTCAGCCCTCATCTTCTTTGAGTACATTGCGACTTTTTCCGAAGAGGTTCACGTCATCCGGCGGGCCAGGTTGACCACTGTCACGATCGTCTTTTCCCTCAACCGTTATCTGCTTCTGGTACTAGGTGTTAGTAATGCAGTAAATGTCTTCTGGTTGAATACTCCACTGGTAAGTCATGTCGTGTCGTGCCGCAAGTGAATCGAGTATTTATGATCTACGCACACACAGAGGTGAGTAACGACGATCGCATCGTATGTTCAGCGCAATTAATAGGTTGTCGCAGCTGTGAGGCCGCGTACTTATTGTTCGATGCGACGACTATTGTTCTTGAGGCTGTGACAGCAGGTCAGAGATCGTTTGACCTCAAATTTCATGAAGACATTGATTAATAAATTGTCAGGCTTCTCCGCATTCCGCACATATGCTATTAGCGGACACCAGATCATCCCTGCATTGCTAGTCTTGCTACTGGGGCTAGTGCCAGCCGGCGTCAACGTCGTGAGTACATGCGTTCTCCGCCATCATATGTTAATTAAGCACCTCTGGGCAGTTTACAGAGGTGACAGCGTCATACGCATTCATCACTTACGTAGGCAGCTATCCAATTTGTGACATTAACCTCCGCGAGGCCGTCGCGACAGAGCATAGGTAAGTGGCGCGTCCACTTCTCCGATGCCGATACTCCTACGACTGATCCTCCTTTCTTTAGACGTAAGTTTGAAGAAGACTGATGACTTGTTGCTCTAACACGCACGGTCCCCGCAGTCACCGTCATCGCGCGCATTTGCCCGGCTGTATCTGACCTGATCGTTGTCCTTGTCACTTGGCTCACAACAGCCAGACTCGCTATAGAAGTGCGAAATCTACGGTTAAGAGGATCGATCGCGACGGTGCTGATGAGAGACGGTGAGTATGTGTAGCTCTTAAGTGCACGCGATGCCTTACAAGCAGCCCATTCAAGGCACGCTCTACTTCATGTACGTCGGGCTCTGTCACAGTGCCTTGTCATAACTCTGTTTTCCACCGTTCATCAGGGCCCTTTTGCTTCTCAACGTCCTCGACATCGTGATCAAAATATTCTACGAAAATTCACAGGCAAGTCTACCCAAAAAAACTGAATGGCCACTTTATAAATTGAAATGCAAGCAGAATCCTGCAGCCTACGTCACAGTTTTCCTGCCACCGTATGCGACCATTCATACCCAAACCACATCAACCCATGCTTACAGAGTCAATCAGAATCTCATCAATCCTGATATCACGCTTCATCCTCAACCTACGCCAGGTGTCGCTCGGCAGCATGGACTTGAATACGACTTCTCCCAGCTCCCGGAATACCCTGGACTTTCGCTCTCGTCTGGTTGGCAACTTTGGCGCCGAGGTCCAGCACACGTCTCTTGTTTTTGAGAATGTCGAAGATGACACTGAGGACGAGCAGAATATCAGTGGGGACTGTGAGGCCTTCGAGTTGGCGCAGGTGCAGTAGGTCATCGTACAAGCTATGCGATCGTTTTGAATCATGCCGGCTCTGACTGTAACCCGCATTTGCACCTTGACATAATTTCCCAGTCGCGATATCCGAGCAAAACATTATGCTAAGCTGGTATGAAGCACACGTGCATATAGCACAGAGAGCAAGGGAGAGATTTGCCAGGCCAAAAGCTGCATCCGGCCGCCGCAAGCGGTGAATGCCAGTGCTGTCGAAGACGTAGACAAAAGTCATAAAGTGGTAGCAGCAGTCGATCCGTTGCACGTCCCTATGCAGTTTTACAGCATAGCAGGTGTTAAGACCATTGCAGTAAAAGCATCGCAGTCTCACAAACACTGGAGACACCTGGAGCTTACACGTCGGTGGTTGGAAATGCCATCGGTCCTTGCCGAGTTTCATAAATCCAGGCACAGCTCCAGCCGCGAGCATGAAAGCACATACAATAGAGCGATGCCGCAGACGATTTAAGAGGGAATGCAAACCGACCAACATAACAGAATAACATCCTCAGTGTCCGAGGCTGTTAACAGATTTCTCAAGCCATCCGGCCCGCATGCAACCCCAGCAAATCTTCTTCCTTCTTCTCCTCATCATGCATGAGCAACGAGTGACCGGTCATCTCTGCAACCTAATAGTGAGTCTCACAATCTACACTTGCATATAGTCAGACACTTCATACAAACATTGTGAGAGCAACGAAGACATCCTAGTCATATATGCACCCACCACAATGTCAAGCACGGTGGGTGTCACGTCGCACAGCGCGCCGTTCTTCTCCTCACTGTCCTTCTTGTCGGTAGTGAAGTAGAATTCCTTCTGGTCGCCCTTCATGATAAACGGCACCGGGTTCGTCATGTGTGCTGTGTGCGGCGCACCCGTCTCGAGGTCGATCATCTGCTCCGCGTTCCCATGGTCCGCCGTGATGAGCAAAATGTAACCCGCCTCCTCACAGGCCGGGTACACTGTTACGGCGGCCTTGTTTGTTGCGGAGGTGGCCTCCACGGCTGCCTCGGGTACGCCCGTGTGGCCAGCCATATCCGGCGGCGCAAAGTTGTGCATCACGAACTCCTTGTCACTCTTGCGTATGACCTCCATGACCTTGTTCGCGACGGCCTGGATGCTCATCTTGGGGTCCTTGTCGTACGTCGCGTCCCTAAGCGAGAGGATCTTATGCCGCTCCTCGTTAAGATGCTGTTTCACAACACCGCCGTTGAAGAAAAACGTGACGTGTGCGTATTTCTCGGGTTCTGAGCATAGTCGGAGAAGTGCTAGCACGATCACACACAATGCACATACCGGCTATGTATGCCTACTTCATGCCCTACTCGGCGAGGATATTCGTCATCGGTTGCGGCGGAAAAGCAACCGGGAAGGGGAACTCGGCGTTTATTGTGGCATGGTGTTGACGTGCTCGAAAGCAGTCACCAAAATGAGAGTCATCAATCCTATGCGAGTACACTTACTGTCACCACATCGACCTTCATGGACTTGACACGGAAACCAAGCACGGTGGCAATCTGCCGCATCCGGTCAGAGCGGTAGTTGAAGAAGAGCGTCTCGCCATCCTTGATGCAGCCCTCATCACCGTTCACGATGATACACTTCAAGAATTCATCTGTCTTGTCCTTTTCGTACTATTCCTCAATCGCTTTCATGACGTCTTCGCATTTCTCGCACACGTCCTTCACGAGGCCATCCAAGGCGATTTTGATGCGCTCGCAACGCCTGTCGCGGTTCATTGCGTAGTAGTGGCCCATGACGGTCACGATCTGGCCGTACTTCTCCTTCCCAGTGAATGCGAGGAGGCCCTTGACGTATCCTGTGGCCGAGCGGGGGCGATGGGCGTGACGAGCATGGCGTATAAATAGTTTATTTACGAGTGCATGCCACCGTCCGAGACCTATCGTATCAGAGTACCGCATACATCAGAGTACGGCGCGGTCAGCCGCCCTGGCAGAAATACAAATTCACGCGACACGTACGAGACCCAGTAGGTGTAGACGGGGGTTCCCTTCCTTTGCATGCTTGCAGCTCCCGACAATGACCTCGTTCTTGTGGCACTGGCGCTTGTTGATCGACACATCGATCCTCACGATATCTTGCCAGACGACCCGCCCAGCGCCGATTTCCAAGTGCCTGAGCATTCGCTCATTCAACGCGCCATCATGAAAGCATAAAATTGCACATACCCGACCTCTGAGTCGCCCATAAGCCCGTCACCGAGACCCATGGCAATGCCGTGAGCATGCAGCGTGCGCACGCTATGCTCCTCCAAGATCGTATCCATGTTCGTCATGTCCCCAGTCACGATAGCGTCACGTTTCATGTTGGGCTCCGGAGCAACGCCCCAGCCATCGGTTCGCCGCTCCTGAGTGCCTCGCATCCACCTCCGCGCTTCGGCATCATGATCTCGGTGCTCTTCCATACTTATACCGCTTCAGCTCACCCGAAATCACCGTGCTCGAGCACTTGGGAAGCAGGTAGTTGATGTTAAGCTGCGCACGGTGGTCAGAGCCCGCAATGGGGTTCTCACGCTTGGATGCGAGAGTGCCCGCGGATGTCAAGCAGGACTGGAGTGGCGGGTTAGAAAGCTCCAGGACGGCGCCATCGTTTAGGTCAATGGCAGAAGGCTCGCAAGTTCGAGAGTGATGGCACGCCTCAATCTAAGTACAGGCGAAGAGCGATCTAGTGGTCGGACAGGCCTGGCATATGCAAGTCGAGCATGAGCTGCCTGTCGATGGGGTCACATCGAAAGCCGACGCGGTCATTAAGAGTACAAAGTGCACAGCACCACGATTTGGGGTGCCATGGCGAGCACTTGGATTGCTATCGCACTGCTCTCACGACTTCTTCTTCCTTAGCTTCTCTCTGTGACTAGAAGCGAAGGGATGTACTCACGCGTGCATGATGAACCACACGGATCACATTTGGTGGTTCTGTTTGACAGATGGCCTTTTGGGCAATCTTCAATACCTGTGCTATCCGTAAGCCCCCATCTGAACTTTACTCTTTGTGTTTCATGTCCGGTCAACCAGACATTGTATAAAGATGAGTCGCGCACCGATGGGCATCCTTAAAGCCCCTCCGAAAACTGTTTTCTTTTGCACTGACCATTGTCACCGACATTGACACCTCTACAATGTCGAATGCAACAGCTGCGAGCATATTGGCTCAGGAAGAAGTGGTCCTCTTACAGCAAGTGTGAGGACGACGATACTTTCCGGTGCATTCACCTGACGAGTCTGCGATCGCTGTCACAGATACACTTATGCCTACTGCTATCTCGCAACTACTGGTACGCCCCGGGTCGGACCACTATAAGCGATCAAACTCGACTCACAGACTGGACATGTTCAGCGCTCATCTTCTATGAGCACATTGTGACTTTTCCTGAAGAGGTTCACGTCATCTGGGGAGGCAGGTTGACCACCGTCACGGTCATCTTTGCCCTCAACCGTTATCTGCTCATGGTACAAGGCATAAGTTTCGCACTGGATCCCATCTGGTGGCATACTCCACTGGTAAGTCATGTCGTGTCGTGCTGCGAATGAATCGAGCACTCACGATCTACGCGCACACAGAGGTGAGCAACGACGATCGCACCGTATGTTTAGCGCAGTTAATAGCTGTCGCAGCTGTGAGGCTGTGCTCGTGTTGCCAGACGTGACGTATGCTGTTCTTGAGGCTGCGATAGCAGGTCAGAGATTCTTTGACCTCGATGTCATGAAGAGACTGATCGATAGATTGTTAGGCTTTTCCGCGTTCCGCGCATTTGCTATTAGTGGACGCCAGATCGTCCCTGCGTTGCTGGTCTTGCTACTGGGGCTAGCGCCAGTCGGCGTCAACCTCGTGAGTATATATGTTCGCCGCCATCATATATCTGTTGAGCACCTCTGGGCAGTTTACATATGCAAGAGAGTCATACGATTTCGTCACTTACGTAGTCAGCTATCCAGTTTGTGATGATACCCTCCGCGGGTCTATCGCGACAGAGAAGAAGTAAGTGCCCCGTCCGCCTCTGCGACGTCGGTACTCCTAGGACTGATCCTCCTTTGCATAGACGTGAGTTTGTAGAAGACCGATGGGCTATTGCTCTGACACGCGTGATTCCTGCAGTCATCATCTTCGATCGCATCTGCCCGGCTGTATCCGACCTGATTGTGCTCCTTGTTACTTGGTTCAAAACAGCCAGACTCGCCATAGAAGTGCGCAATTTACGGTTCAGAGGATCGATTGCGACGGTGCTGATGAGAGACGGTGAGTATGTGTGGATCTTATACATGCGATGCCTTACAAACAGCCCATTCAAGGTACGCTGTACTTCATGTACGTCGGGCTCTGTCACAGTGGCTTGTCATGACTCTGTTCTTTCACCGTTCGATAGGGCCCTTTTGCTTCTCAACATCCTCGAGATCGTGATCGCACTCCGCTACGAGAATTCACAGGCAAGTTTACCCGTACAGATGCATGGCCGCTCTAAGATAGCGTAAGCAGAATGGCGGAAACTACGTCTCAATTTTCCTTCCACCGTAAGCGACCGATCATACCCAATTCAGCTCAGCTCATGCTCACCGAATCAATCAGAATCTCATCAATCCTGGTGTCGCGGTTCATCCTCAACCTACGCCAGGTGTCCCTCGGCAGCGTGGACTTGAATACGATTTCTCACAGTGCCCTGAACACGCCGGACATCCCCTCTCGCCTGGTTGGCAACTTTGGCGCCGAGCTCCAGCACATGTCTCTTGTTTTTGAGGATGTCGAGGATAACGCTGAGGATGAGCAGAATATCAGTGGGGACTGTGAGGCCTACGAGTTGACGCAGGTACAATAGTCATCGTACAAGCTATGCGATCGTTTTGAATAGTGCCGGCTCTGACTGTAACCCGCGTTTGCTCCTTGACATAATTTTCCGACCGCGATTGACGAGATGCTACGCTGGAACGAAGCATACAAAGTTCATTATAGCATACACAACGAGGCGGAGATTCGCCAGGCCCAAAGCTGCATCCCGCCCCCGCAATGCTGAATGTCGTCCGAGACGTAGACAAAAGTCATGAACTGGTAGTAGCAGTCAATCCGTTGCACGTCCTACGCATTTATACAGCGAAGCAGGTGTGCAGCCCATTGGAGTTAAAGCGTCGGAGTCTCGGAGACGAAACACGTTGGCTGGATGCCATCGGTCGTTTCCGAGCTTCATAAATCCAGGCACAGCTCGGCAGCAGCCGCAAGCATGAAGGCAGAACTTTATCTGCGTACATTGAGCGATGTCGCAGATGATTTAAAAGGGAAGGCAAGCTGGCCAACATAACAGAATATCATCCTCAAGTCCGTATACCTCAGCAGTGTCCGAGGCTGTTAACAGATTTTTCAAGCCATCCGGCCCCCATGCAAGCCCAGCAAATCGAGAATTATCATTTCGTCTATTCGCAGTGTTAGTAGTTAAACGTCCAGTACACGTTCTAGAGTCCTTCTAATTTCATTCCTTCTTCTCCTCATCATGCGCGAGCAGCGAGCGACCGGGCATCTCTGCAACCAAAGTCAGTCTCACAATCTACACTCGCATATATTCAGCCACTCACCTTCAGGTTGAGGCAATCCCTGAGTCATACAAAATGTTGTGAGAGCGGCGTAGCGAAGACACCCTGATCATATATGCACCCACCATAATGTCAAGGACGGCGGACGTCACATCGGGCAGTGCTCCTTTCTCCTCCTCACTGTCTTTCTTGTCGACAGTGAAGTAGAATTTCTTTTGGGTCGCCCACCATGATAGACGGCACCGGGTTCATCGTGCGTGCGTGTGCGGCGCGCCCGTCTCGGGAATGATCATCTGCTCCGCGATCCCATAATCCGCCGTGATGAGCAGGGTGTAACCCGCCTCCTCACAGGCCTGGTAACACTATCTCGACGGCCTGTCCGTTGCTGAGATGGCCTCCACGGCTGCCTCGTATACGCCCGGGTGGCCCACCATATCCTGTGGCGCAAAGTTGCATCTCACGAACTCCTTGTCGCCCTTGCGTATGACCTCCGCAACCTTGTCCACGATAGCCTTGACGCTCGTTTTGTCGTACGGCGCGGCCTTAGGTGAGAGAATCATATGCCACTTCTCGTTAACATGTTGTGTCTCAACATCGCCATTGGAGAAGAACGTGTGCGTATTTCTCGGTTTCTAGGCATGGTCGGGGATGCGTGAGCACGATAATACACAATGTGCATACCGACTATGTGTGCCTGCTTCACACCCTGCTTCGCGAGCCATTCGGCGAGGACATTTGTTGTCGGTTGCGGCGCAAAAGCAACCGGAAAGGGGAACTCGGCGTTGTATTGTGGCATGGTGCTGATGTGCTAGAAAGCAGGCTCCAAAACAAGAGTCACCAATCATAGGCGAGAACACCTACATGCCAGGTCTTTCGGTACATCGACCTCCATAGGCTTGTCAGGGAGGCCAAGCACGACGACAATCTCCCACATCTGGTCAGAGCGGTAGTTGAAGAAGAGCGTGTCGCCATCCTTGATACGGCCCTCATCGCCATTCGCGACGATAAGCTTCAAACATTCGTCCGTCTCATCCTTCTTTTATCGTTCTTCGATCACTTTCATGGTGTCTTCGCCCTTCTCGCCCACGCCCTTCGCGAGGCCATCCACGGCGATCTTGATGCGCTCTCAACGCCTGTCGCGGTCTGTTTCGTACTAACGGCCCACGACGGTCGCGATCTGGCCGTATTTCTCCTTCTCAGTGAATGCGAGGAGGCCCTTGACGTATCCTGCGGCTGAGCGGGGTGCGGTGTCATGCCCATCGTCGAAGGAATGGATGCAGACGTGCGGGACGCCGACTTGTTTTGTAGCCTCAAGTCCAGCATAGGAGAGCCATTCGGTGCGGACAATGTTTGACATAGCGTTCTCGAAATACATTGGTGACCTACATCCATGACCAAATAAAGTGAAGGTTGACGAGACAAGTGAGTAGATTAAACAGCGGAGCCGCTTTCTACGTTGGGAGGATGCGTCCCCTGTCCGAGATACAAAGCATGATCAGAACCTACGGCACCCGAGTTGTACTTGACTTCGTCTGCTACGTCCGTTATGCTGCTCGTAGTCGGGCGTACGCAATAGACAGAATTGGCCTGGTCGCGGCTTGTTCTGCCGAATGATTCCAGTTGCACCGTGCGTCCATCCATGCGGTTCGATGAAGGGCCGTGCTTAGCCTTTCCCTGCGACTTCCACAGTCCATGCGAAACGCCGAAATGCGCCCGCAAAAGAATGAGCAACGGCGCGAGAAGGGCGACCTGCACATTGACGTCGAAAGCGCCCTCTATGATTGCGTCCGATGTTGGCGTCTGTATGCAGTAGATGACGAGGGTAAACATGCTGAAGATGGTGAAGAGCGCGCCGGACTCGAGAACGATGAAGATCGTGTGAAGGTAGTAGTCCTCGCCCTTCCGTGAACTGATCCAGACTCCACCCAGTGGAGATGACCGTGAGGCGTTCCAGAGTCGGACGACGATGCCGAGCGTGCATATGATATTGACTGCCGTGCAGCACGAAAATTGGAGAATATCGAGAGGGGTGCTGTCGTGACCTCTGTCTGTTCGCGAAGTGTCGACGATCCCCAAGACTACGGAGGCTTGATCAGACGCCAAAAACCAATCAAGACAGGTTCAGAATCTCACTGAGATGAACGAGCTCGATAATGGACTGTGCCTCGTTAGCCATGACCTTACAAATGCGCATATTGATGGACCTACCGGAATTACAAGCATTTTCCAATTACGACCCCATACAACGTAGAACCTCCATATGAGCACCCAGTTTTGGACCGAGTCCTGTACGGTTCGTTAGTGCACCGAAGTCCAGTAGAACCAGTAGAACCAACGTACCGCAAAGACTTGAATATAGAATTTGGCCTGTGCGACAGGGAGAATGATGTCAAACCAGTAAATGATGGAGCCATCCGGCGCAGAGGTGACGGATTCATCTGTGAAAGCCTGCAACAACTGAGCCAGGCTCATTCCTATGTGTATCGTCGCGAGGACAAAGATAAAGGTGCTTGATAAGAGAAGAACACTAGTTTTGGGTTTGAGTGACACTCGTAGAGCGTAGACTAGGTCCAGCACTCACTATGGCTTCCCGCCATTCGATGACTTGGACGCAAGGATATAGAGGCTGACTGCGAAGAACACGATACTTCGGAACACAATATCAGTCATGTCGCCGTCACCCTCGGACCATAAACACATACTTCAACCCTGGTGGAACGTAAGCACGCCTATCGTCAGCTAGCACAAGAGAAACGCACCATAGAGCAAGGTCGACACCCAGATGAAAACCAGGTTTATCACGTCGAAGCGCACAATCTTGCCCCCTTGGAATGGTGTAAGGTTCACCATATTGGTTAGATGTTGAGAAGTTGAGAGGGAGGAATCATGGGCACCCACAACCTGAGCATAGCGCTTTATTCTGTTTTATGATCTGATCAGAATCTATCAGCTATCACTGCGTCACTTCGGGGCGGCGAGATCGGGGAATGGCTGTGAAAACTGTATACATTCATAGTAACTTGATCAAACGATACAGTTTGAGGGGCTTCGAATTCCGCATCAAAACAGAAATCGCCGGCCACATTTGAGTTGTGGTTGTGGCAGCGTGATACAAGAAGATGAGTGATGGATGAAGACAAGTCTTTTTTTTTTTATTTTTTTTTTTATATACAATTTATATCCCGCCCCGAAGGGGCGGTCGGAGGTGTGTAAATACATGTCTTGGAACAACGGAGGACCAGACGCATCTGGGGGTGAAGAAGCTTAACGTACGGACACCAGGTCCCCACGGACGCAACAGAGCAGGCGTATAGTAGAAGGGCACGAATGTTGGAACGAGACCGCTCAGGAGCGAATGGGGAGGAATGGATTGACGGGTTTGACAGCGCGGTCACGTGGTTGGCGCGCACCTACATAATGACGCGTTTCTCGTAGTAGACACCTCAGTCGAGTACGCCATTGTACGGCACGGCTGAGGTGAGTCTCGGACACGTTTTCCCTTTCGTTTATCGGACATTGGACTGATTTTATCGGTTAGACGTAGCGTTGCGTTCATAACAGGTACAGTAGTAGAGTCGAGTACGCCATTGTACGGCACGGCTGAGATGTAGCGTTGCGTTCATAACAACGAAGCCCGGTAAGCTGTGTCATGGACCACGCAAGCGCCGATAACCTAACAAAATGCATATGCCTAACCAAACTCGAAAACCACGCCGCGGTCAGTCCGTTGACTCGTTAGAAACACTGTTTAAGGGGAATCGAACCCCCAAGATACTCCCACCAAACAGTCCTCGTTCACCGCAGAGGCAAAGTGGCGTGCGGGGCATGGTGACCAGTTGAACATTGAGGGGGAGCCGGCTGGACCAGGGTTAGTGAATTGCACGACGGCGGGCCAAAGGGCGGAGTGAGTTGGCAGCCAAAGAGATGTCGGGGCGGAGGGAAAGAATGAGGGAATCGACAGAATGAATGGGTGACGCGCGGCGAACCCTACCACGCAGCAGGCTGGATAAAAACTGATCCCCTGCATTTAAGTATTGCTACGCCGGCATGTGGATCCCGTATTCGGTGCGGGCATGCCTTGTGGTGACGGAGGGGAGCAGACGGGGGGCGCTAGAAATGGAAAGAAAGGAACGTGGTGGAAATTGAAGTCGCACTCGCCCCTACATAGCAACATCCAAGTCGCCAGTAGAGGGCAGCGTGGGGCGCTCGAGAGAGGAGGTCGGAGCGGGGCCAGCGCTCCGGAAAGAGGTGCGTTTGGGGCACTGGTCGGAGTCGGCGTGGTGGAGACCACGGCAGTTGACGCAACGCGCATGAGCACAGGATTCGGAGGTGGCACGATTCTCCTTCGCGCACATGGCGCACCGAGCGCGGTGCACCGATTCGAGATGGCGGCCAGCACAGACACGGCACCGGGGCAGCTTCGTGCATTCTGCAGCGAGGTGGCCATAACCCCAGCATCTCGTACACTGTCAGAGGCGTGGCTTATCACGCCAGCGCGACGTGGTGACGGGAGTACCGAAAGTGAAGAGGGGGGTCTGAAGGAGGGCAGTGAGGATGGAGCCATCCGGGTCTTCGAAGCCGAGGACGACGGACGAGCGAGCACCGTCGATCTGCTTAGGTCGACGTGCCCAGCGCGGAGGTTGGGTGATGCGGAGGCACGCAAGCGCGGGGTTCTTCACGAGCTCGGTCGACAGAGTCGACGTCGAGTGGACAGCGCCGCCAGGGGCTGCTCGGGTGCTGACATTGCCGATGAGAATCCGAGACCACTTGACGTCCCTGGAGACATGGTGATCCGGGTCGAGCTTGAGGGCAACACGGAGGGTCAGGAGATGTTCGTCAACGTGGCGGTAGGAGGTGGCAGGAGGGAAGGCCAGGACGATGTTGCCAGAGGAGCTCGGATAGACCGCAAGCGCAGCCATTCCTCCAGCAGTTGAAATCGCAGCCAGTGCTGCGTTCACATCACTGACCAGTTGGGCAGGGGGAGTCTGAAGCAAGTGGACCGGCGCGGAGCCAGTAAATCGAACCACGTACCGCAAGGGCTCCGCAACCTGCTTGGGCTTAGGAGCCTTCGGGGTAGCGGGCAGGTTCGGAGTCATCACGGGAGGAGCTGGACGAGAAGGGGCGGCCGCCGCCACGTATG